AGGCGACAGTAGCTCAGTTGGTAGAGCGTTGGCCTTTGAGCCAGAGGGTTGTGGGTTCGAGCCCGACTCCCACTGTCTGCTGTGGTTGTGTCCTTAGGCAAGACACTCCCCCCACATTAGAATGAGTCTGGTGTGTGTGTGAGTGGTTGGTGGTGGTGGGAGGGGCTTCTGTCAGTGTGCCCCAGGGCAGCTGTGGCTACAGTAGTTTACCACCAGTGTGTTTGGAGAGAGAGAATAATGTTTTGATGATGAGACTGAGCGTCCAGAAAATCACTGTAAAAAACCAATGCATTATTATAAAATATATATATGTGTGTGTGTCTGTGTGTGTGTGTGTGTCTGTGTGTGTGTGTGTGTGTCTGTGTGTGTGTGTGTGTGTCTGTGTGTGTGTCTGTGTGTGTGTGTGTGTCTGTGTGTCTGTGTGTGTGTGTGTGTGTGTGTGTGTGTGTGTGTGTGTGTGTGTGTGTGTGTGTGTGTGTGTCTGTGTTTGTGTGTGTGTGTGTGTGTCTGTGTCTGTGTGTGTGTGTCTGTGTGTGTGTGTGTGTGTGTGTGTGTCTGTGTGTGTGTGTGTGTGTGTGTGTGTGTCTGTGTGTGTGCGTGTGTGTGTGTGTGTGTGTGTCTCAGGCAGGTGCAGTACAGTGATGGATACTTCTGGAAGTATAGTTGTGGACAGATGTGTGTGTTGTCAGAGTCTGGAGCCTGTAACCAGCAGAACTGTCCAATCCACTGTGAGCTCAGCGACTTCTCCACATGGTCCCAGTGCTCGCCCTGCACCCTCACACAGGTACCAGCAAGGCTCACTCTGGTCCCTCTCTGGTCCAGATGGTGTCTCTCTGGTCTCTCTCTTGGTCTCTCTGGTCTCTCACCTGGCATGGACGTCGGAACTATTTTCTGAGAGGGGGGGCGGGTTTTTGTTGGGAGAGTCGAGGGAGAGACTCATACTTGGATTACACTGGATAATAACATACCATCTTAATTGTTAAGAAAAACAAAATAAACAATATATATCAAGGAAGTCACTTATCAAACTGAACTTTTTTTTTTTCAATACGCATTCATGCGTCAGTCTCTCCGGTGGCTTCATTGTGTTGTGTAGCCCAGTGACGTGCGGTCAGATGAGGCAGGCAAGGCCCTCACCTAAGATCATAGAAAGAAAAGTAATAAAATGGATACAATAATGTTTGGTCACTTTATCAAGTGATTTGTGCTGTGCCTTATTTCATTTATTTATACCTTGAAATCGCAGATTTGACAGAGCGGTGCTGTGAGGCGAGCCTCTCTTGGGAGACGTAAAAAGCAACAGCTCACAGGGAGAGTCCTGTGAAGTGCTATCAAACTGTTTTCTCTGTTTATCACAGTTTAAAAAGTTCAAAAATATTTAATTTACAATCAACATGTTTACATTTAAGAGGATGGCTCATAAATTGTGTTTTTGAAGCAAATATGGGTCTTAATCGCGCTCAACCACAGCTTGTAAGTGAGGAAAGCCTCAAGGGGGCGCTTTTGAGCCCAAACTTTGGCTGCATCCAATTCCATCAGAAAGCTCCTTTCTTGTTCTTCTTCTGCTAAGGGCAGCTACAGGTTTGGCTAACATACCTATAATACATTTTAAGATAATTTAAAATGCACTTAGAGTAATGTTTTGCTTCCAATGATGATATGAATCATAAGAAAAGGAGGTGAAGGGTAAGGTTGAATTTAGAAATTGGATTTACCCGGGAGTCGGCTGCAGCAAAACTCGGAGTTTACGGAGGAGACACCCGTTTTTTTTACTTTTTAAAACTCATTGAACTTATTTCCAAATGGAGGATTACATGTCTGTGCTCAAACTATTATCTGGACTTAAACATGAAACTGGTCCTAACTGAAGTGGTCTGTGCTGTTCATTAATACCTAAGGTAAGGCCCATAACACACTTTGTACTATTTACAAACGTTTGCGTTTTGTATGAGAAAACAATGCAGACATTAAATCATATTCTGCTGTAGCCAAACAAATTGTGTATAAGCCGCTCCTGTTCCTGTAGGTCCTGTTGGTTTATATGATGTATAATCATATGAACACATGATTGATCCCCCACCGCACGTCACTGGTGTAGCCAGGTCTCTAATCTGCGCAAGGCTGAGAAAGAGCGCTCAGAGGCTGCGACAGATATTAGCCAGACAGAGCTTCATAAGCTTCTCCGACAGCATGGAGCGGGTTTTGGGCTGCAAGGAACGCAGGATAGTGATAACTTCTCGCTCCCGGCACACGCGGAGGGGGTGCGGCCGCACCCCCCGCACCCCTAGTTCCGACGTCTATGTCACCTGGTCCCTCACTCTGGTCCCGCTGGTCTCTCTGGTCACTCTCTGGTCTCTCCTTGGTCTCTCTCTGGTCTCTCTCTGGTCACTCTCTGGTCTCTCCCTGGTCTCTCTCTGGTCTCTCCCTGGTCTCTCTCTGGTCTCTCTCTGGTCACTCTCTGGTCTCTCCCTGGTCTCTCTCTGGTATCTCTCTGGTCTCTCTCTGGTCTCTCCCTGGTCTCTCTCTGGTCTCTCTCTGGTCTCTCTCTCTGGTCTCTCTCTGGTCCCTCACCTGGTCCCTCACCTGGTCTCTCCCCTGGTCTCCCTCAGCTGAGGACTCGTATGGTCCTGGTCCCGTCTCAGTTTGGAGGAGCTCAGTGCAGTGAGCCGCTGGTCGAAGAACGTCAGTGTCACTCATCGAGGGTCTGTCGCCTCCCATCCATCACCTGCAGAGACCAGTACAAGTGCGACAACGGTGAGTACAGAGGCCCTCTCCTGGTGCAGAGGTCCTGGTCCTCTCCTGGTCCTCTCCTGGTGCCGAGGTCCTGGTCCTCTCCTGGTGCAGAGGTCCAAGTCCTCTCCTGGTGCAGAGGTCCTGGTCCTCTCATGGTCCTCTCCTGGTGCCGAGGTCCTGGTCCTCTCCTGGTGCAGAGGTCCTGGTCCTCTCCTGGTGCAGAGGTCCAAGTCCTCTCCTGGTGCAGAGGTCCTGGTCCTCTCATGGTCCTCTCCTGGTGCCGAGGTCCTGGTCCTCTCCTGGTGCAGAGGTCCAAGTCCTCTCCTGGTGCAGAGGTCCTGGTCCTCTCCTGGTGCAGAGGTCCTGGTCCTCTCCTGGTGCAGAGGTCCTGGTCCTCTCCTGGTGCAGAGGTCCAAGTCCTCTCCTGGTGCCGAGGTCCTGGTCCTCTCCTGGGGCAGAGGTCCAAGTCCTCTCCTGGTGCAGAGGTCCTGGTCCTCTCTTGGTGCAGAGGTCCTGGTCCTCTCATGGTCCTCTCCTGGTGCCGAGGTCCTGGTCCTCTCTTGGTGCAGAGGTTCTGGTCCTCTCCTGGTGCAGAGGTCCTGGTCCTCTCCTGGTGAAGGAGGAGAAGCTCGGAGTAGAGCCGCTGCTCCTACTGTAAGTGAGGTTAACACATGGTGTGTCCGCAGGCCGCTGTTTGAACAACACTCTGACCTGCAACAATCAAAACGACTGCGGAGACAACTCCGACGAAACCAACTGCAGCTCCACCTCCTCCGTCTGTCCCAGAGAGGATCTGCCCTCTGTCCCCGGGGCCGACCTGGTCCAGAGCGGGTCAGTCTGAGACCAGAGGGAGACCTGGGGGAGACCAGGGGGGGACCAGGGGGAGACCAGAGGGAGACCTGGGGGAGACCAGGGGGGGACCAGGGGGAGACCAGAGGGAGACCTGGGGGAGACCAGGGGGGGACCAGGGGGAGACCAGAGAGAGACCTGGGGGAGACCAGAGAGAGACCAGGGGGAGACCAGGGGGGGAACAGGGGGAGACCAGAGGGAGACCTGGGGGAGACCAGGGAGAGACCAGAGAGAGACCAGGGAGAGACCAGAGAGAGACCAGGGGGAGATCAGAGAAAGACCAGGGGGAGACCAGGGGAGGAACAGGGGGAGACCAGAGAGAGACCAAAGAGACCAGAGGAACCAGAGGGAGACTGGAGGGAGACCGGAGGGTGACCAGAGGGACCAGAGAGAGACCAGAGGTAGACCAGGGGGAGACCAGAGAGTTCTCAGTCCTTCCTGGTCTCTGCAGGTGGGACATTCTGGGTGGTACGTCTCGTGGTGCTGTCTTGGATCACAGCTTCATGGGATCAGACTGTGTCCTGCGCAGACCTCCAGGAGAAGTGTCCTATTACCGAGTCCCTCACAACATGCAGGCCTTCAACATCAAGGTCTTAATCCTGCGTTAGTCCTGCTTTAGACCTGCTGTAGACCTGCTTTAGACCTGCTTTAGACCTGCTGTAGACCTGCTTTAGACCTGCTTTAGACCTGCTTTAGACCTGCTTTAGATCTGCTGTAGACCTGCTTTAGACCTGCTTTAGACCTGCTTTAGACCTGCTTTAGACCTGCTTTAGACCTGCTGTAGACCTGCTGTAGACCTGCTTTAGACCTGCTTTAGACCTGCTTTAGACCTGCTGTAGTCCTGCTTTAGACCTGCTGTAGACCTGCTGTAGACCTGCTGTAGACCTGGTTTAGTCCTGCTTTAGTCCTGCTGTAGACCTGCTTGTGTTGCAGGCGGACCGTGTGGAGGACTTTGCGTCGGACCCCCAGCCTCTGCAGACGGAGAGGGTGGACTTTAGGACCTCTCGGGAACAGGTCGGGTCAGAGCAGCCGAGCAGCGACCTCCTCTTCCTCTTCTTCTACTTCGGCAGCGGCTCCAGCTCCGGCAGCAGCTCCAAGAAGGCGGCCTTCGAGTCCTCCAAGACCAAGGTGTGGTTTCTGCTGCAGTCTTCGCTGCTTTTCAATACTTTTGCTACGCTCAACTCTTTTATGCTGAGTATTCTCTTAAACAGTTGTAAGACAGATCTAGCGGCTTGGGTGATCATGCCTCCCAAGACGGACGATGGACAGAGCCAGAAGTTGGCGGCGGCTAGCAGCGATGCTTAATTAGCTGCTGTTAGCCAGCTAGGGTCCGAGTTAGCTAAAGTCTCGCGGTGGATGGCATAAAAAAGTCCATGGAGGAGCGCCCGGACACGACTGAGGCACACCTTTTAACCCTGCAAGATGACCACAGCCAAACACAGCAGCGGGTCTTTCCCGGGTCGATGTCCGCCTGTCAGAACCGAGACGCCCTTCACCGAGCTACAGGCGGCTAACGACGCCCTCAAAGCTAAAGGAAGGATCGGGAGGGGCGCTCTCGGAGGCTAAACATTCGAATTGTGGGCTACTCTAACGACCCACCCATCAGCCCTGCCCCCAGCCTAACAATAGCCGCTAAAGAGATTAAACAACTCTTCCTGAGGCTGCACCCCCGCAAAGCTCCTGGCCCGGACCACGTGTCTCCAGCCACTCTGAGACACTGCCCCAGTGAGCTTACTCCTGTGTTCACGGACATTTTCAACACCTCTCTGCAGTCCTGCCATGTCCTGCTTCAAATCCTCCATCATTGTCCCCGTCCCGAAGAAGCCCAGGATCACAGGACTCAATGACTACAGACCTGTAGCACTTACGTCTGTCGTCATGAAGTCATTTGAACGCCTGGTTCTCTCCCATCTCAAGTCCCTCACCTCCCCCTACTGACCCCCCCCCCCCTCCTGGACCCCCTGCAGTTCACCTCCCCCCTCCTGGACCCCTGCAGTTCGCCTACAGAGCCAACAGATCTGTAGACGACGCCATTAACCTGGCCCTCCACCACATCCTACAGCACCTGGACTCCCCGGGGACCTACGCCAGGGTCCTGTTCGTGGACTTCAGCTCTGCCTTCAACACAATCCTGCCATCCCTGCTCCAGGACAAGCTCTCCCAGCTCAACGTGCCCGATTCCACCTGCAGGTGGATCACTGACTTCCTGACGGACAGGAAGCAGCGAGTGCGTCTGGGGAAGAATGTCTCGGACTCTGGGATTATAAATACAGGAGCCCCACAGGGCTGTGTTCTTTTCCCTGCTCTTCTCCCTGTACACCAACCACTGCACCTCCAGCCACGACTCCGTGAAGCTGATCAAGTTCGCGGACGACACCACCCTCATTGGACTCATCTCCAACAACGATGAGTCCGCCTACAGGAGGGAGGTGGACCGGCTGGTGTCCTGGTGTCTCCTACAGGAGGGAGGTGGACCGGCTGGTGTCCTGGTGTCTCCTACAGGAGGGAGGTGGACCGGCTGGTGTCCTGGTGTCTCCTACAGGAGGGAGGTGGACCGGCTGGTGTCCTGGTGTCTCCTACAGGAGGGAGGTGGACCGGCTGGTGTCCTGGTGTCTCCTACAGGAGGGAGGTGGACCGGCTGGTGTCCTGGTGTCTCCTACAGGAGGGAGGTGGACCGGCTGGTGTCCTGGTGTCTCCTACAGGAGGGAGGTGGACCGGCTGGTGTCCTGGTGTCTCCTACAGGAGGGAGGTGGACCGGCTGGTGTCCTGGTGTCTCCTACAGGAGGGAGGTGGACCGGCTGGTGTCCTGGTGTCTCCTACAGGAGGAGGTGGACCGGCTGGTGTCCTGGTGTCTCCTACAGGAGGGAGGTGGACCGGCTGGTGTCCTGGTGTCTCCTACAGGAGGGAGGTGGACCGGCTGGTGTCCTGGTGTCTCCTACAGGAGGGAGGTGGACCGGCTGGTGTCCTGGTGTCTCCTACAGGAGGAGGTGGACCGGCTGGTGTCCTGGTGTCTCCTACAGGAGGGAGGTGGACCGGCTGGTGTCCTGGTGTCTCCTACAGGAGGGAGGTGGACCGGCTGGTGTCCTGATGTCTCCTACAGGAGGGAGGTGGACCGGCTGGTGTCCTGGTGTCTCCTACAGGAGGGAGGTGGACCGGCTGGTGTCCTGGTGTCTTCTACAGGAGGGAGGTGGACCGGCTGGTGTCCTGGTGTCTCCTACAGGAGGGAGGTGGACCGGCTGGTGTCCTGGTGTCTCCTACAGGAGGGAGGTGGACCGGCTGGTGTCCTGGTGTCTCCTACAGGAGGGAGGTGGACCGGCTGGTGTCCTGGTGTCTCCTACAGGAGGGAGGTGGACCGGCTGGTGTCCTGGTGCAGTGGTAACAACCTGGAGCTGAACGCCCAGAAGACAGTGGAGATGATTGTGGACTTCAGGAAGAGCACTGTCCCCCCGCCCCCACCCTCCGTGATGGACTCCCCCATCACCTCTGTGGAGTCCTTCCGTTTCCTGGGCACCACCATCACCCAGGACCTCAAGTGGGAGCCGACCATCAGCTCCCTCATCAAGAAGGCCCAGCAGAGGATGTACTTCCTGCGGCAGCTCAGGAAAGCCAAGCTGCAGTTCTACACGGCCATCATCGAGTCCATCACCTCCTCCTCCATCACCTCCTCCATCTCCTCCTCACACCTCCTCCATCACCTCCTCCATCACCTCCTCCATCACCTCCTCCATCACCTCCTCACACCTCCTCCATCACCTCCTCCATCACCTCCTCCATCACCTCCTCACACCTCCTCCATCACCTCCTCCATCACCTCCTCCATCACCTCCTCCATCACCTCCACCATCACCTCCACCATCACCTCCTCCATCACCTCCTCCATCACCTCCTCACACCTCCTCCATCACCTCCTCCATCACCTCCTCCATCACCTCCTCCATCACCTCCACCATCACCTCCACCATCACCTCCTCCATCACCTCCTCCATCACCTCCACCATCACCTCCTCCATCACCTCCTCCATCACCTCCTTCATCACCTCCACCATCACCTCCACCATCACCACCTCCATCACCTCCTGCATCACCTCCTCCATCACCTCCATCATCACCTCCACCATCACCTCCTCCATCACCTCCTCCATCACCTCCTCCATCACCTCCACCATAACCTCCACCATCACCTCCACCATCACCTCCTCCATCACCTCCTCATCACCTCCATCACCTCCTCACACCTCCTCCATCACCTCCTCCATCACTTCCTCCATCACCTCCTCCATCACCTCCTCCATCACCTCCTCCATCACCTCCACCATCACCTCCTCCATCACCTCCTCACACCTCCTCCATCACCTCCTCCATCACCTCCTCCATCACCTCCTCCATCACCTCCACCATCAGCTCCTCCATCACCTCCTCCTCCATCACCTCCACCATCACCTCCTCCATCACCTCCTCCATCACCTCCTCCATCACCTCCTCCATCACCTCCTCCATCACCTCCACCATCACCTCCACCATCACCTCCTCCATCACCTCCTCCATCACCTCCTCCATCACCTCCTCCATCACCTCCTCCATCACCTCCACCATCACCTCCACCATCACCTCCTCCATCACCTCCTCCATCACCTCCTCCATCACCTCCACCATAACCTCCACCATCACCTCCACCATCACCTCCTCCATCACCTCCTCATCACCTCCATCACCTCCTCCAGCACCTCCTCATCACCTCCTCCATCACCTCCTCCATCACCTCCTCCATCACCTCCACCATCACCTCCTCCATCACCTCCTCCATCACCTCCTCCATCACCTCCTCCATCACCTCCACCATCACCTCCATCATCACCTCCACCATCACCTCCTCCATCACCTCCTCATCACCTCCATCACCTCCTCCAGCACCTCCTCATCACCTCCTCCATCACCTCCTCCATCACCTCCTCCATCACCTCCTCCATCATCTCCTCATCACCTCCTCCATCACCTCCTCCACCTCCTCATCACCTCCTCCATCCCCTCCTCCATCCCCTCCTTCATCCCCTCCTCCATCACCTCCTCCATCACCTCCTTATCACCTCCTCCATCACCTCCTCATCACCTCCTCCATCACCTCCTCATCACCACCTCCATCACCTCCTCATCACCTCCTCCATCACCTCCTCATCACCTCCTCCATCACTTCCTCATCACCTCCTCATCACCTCCTCTATCACCACCTTCATCACCTCCTCATCACCTCCTCATCACCTCCTCTATCACCACCTCCATCACCTCCTCATCACCTCCTCCATCACCACCTCCATCACCTCCTCATCACCTCCTCCATCACCTCCTCATCACCTCCTCCATCACCTCCTCATCACCTCCTCCATCACCTCCTCCATCACCTCCTGCATCACCTCCTGCATCACCTCCTCCATCACCTCCTCCATCACCTCCTGCATCACCTCCTCCATCACCTCCTCCTTCACCTCCTACATCACCTCCTCTATCACCACCTCCATCACCTCCTCATCACCTCCTCCATCACCTCCTCATCACCTCCTCCATCACCTCCTCCATCACCTCCTCCATCACCGTGTGGTTCGCTGGAGCCACAGTCAGGGACAAACAGAGACTACAGTGTAGAGATTGAACAGAAGAGGTCCCAGGATCGACCCCTGTGGTACTCCACAGGTCAGGGCCATATGATCTGAGACACAGTTTACAATCTCCACAAAGTACTTCCTGTCTTCAAGGTAAGACCTAAACCAACTTAGGGCGGTGCCAGCGACGCCAACCCAGTCCTCTAGTCTCTGTAAGAGGATCTCATGGTCGACAGTGTCAAAGGCAGCACTTAGATCTAACAAGATTAAGATTGAGACTTTGCCTGCGTCAGTGTTCAGCCGGATATCGTTTGTAACCTTAACGAGAGCAGTCTCAGTGCTGTGGTGGGGTCTAAAGCCGGACTGGGGCGCATCAAAAGAGCTATTAGTTACAAAGAATTCTGTAAGTTGTTAGTAAGCAACTTTTTCAAGATTATTTCCCATGAACGGCAGATTTGAAATTTAATAATTAATTCTTAAGAACCGTGGCATCAAGACTCAAGAGGGGTCTGATGACTGCCATTTTCAGGGCCATTGGAAATGTTCCAGATGAGAGAGACATGTTTACTATCTGTGTGAGTGAAGGTAATAGACTGCTCAGAACAGACTTCAGAAATGTAGTGGGTAGTACATCCAGGCTACATGTGGACTCAGACTAGAGATAATATCTTGGACAGTTTCATTTTCTGTTGGTGCAAAGTGCGATGTTTTGATGCTCTGAACCTTGTCATTGAAATATTGTGCAAACTCATTACATTTAGATTCTGAGGTAAATTCTATTGGCAGCTGAACCGGGGGGTTTGTTAATATGTTAACTGTTGAAAACATAAGTCGTAGATTATCATTGCAGCCATCAATGGTTTTAGAAAAATACATTTCTCTTGTTCTACGTAGAACCCTGTTAAACTTGCACAACTCATTTTTGAAGATCTCATGATCAACCTGGAGATCGAATTTTCGCCACTTCCGCTCGGCCCTACGGCACTCCCTCTTCTGTGCCATGACTGAGTCCATTTTAGTCCAAGGGGCCTTTGGCTTATTTGTAATCATTTTAACCTTCACAGGAGCGATGATGTCCAGAACATTTATAACATTGGCGGTGACAGAGTTAAACAATTTGTCAACAGTAGAACACAATGTGTTCTCCAAGTTTATCATTCCCATGAACAGTTCGGTTGTGTTTTCATTTATGTGTCTGTGTCTGACAATTGCAGATTCAGATTTTTATGGTTGTTTACTATCAAAACACATGTAAAAAAATACACAGAAGGGATCTGACACAGCCACGTCAACCACATTTACATTTAAAATATTCACCCCCTTAGTAACCAGCAGGTCTAGAGTGTGCCCTTTGCTGTGGGTGGGGCCACTCACGTGCTGAGTGAGACCAAAGGTATCAGTACAAAACTCAGCTCATTTGCATTTCTGTCATTAACATTATCCACATGAATATTAAAATCACCTGTAATAACCAAACTATCAATGTCTGTGCATACAACTGAAAGCAACTCGGTAAAATTATCAATAAAACTGTGACATGACTGCGGTGGCTTGTATAGGACAATGAAGAGTATTGGAGGAGATTGTTTTTGTTGTATTTTAAAAGAAACATACTCAAATGATAGAAAATTTCCAAGGAGAATTCTATGAGATAATATGATCTCTAAATAATGCAGCTAAGCCTCCTCCCCTTTTATTTTCTCGTATTTCAGATGTTGTTGCACAGTGATCTGACATTAAGCATAGCAATTTTAAAATTAATATCAGTGACAGTGGGTTTGTTTAATTGATTTTTACAAGGAGCAGGAATTAGATTTGATCATCTAACTGCTGTCCTTCTGTTATGATTTTGTTTTCCATTCAAATAAAAAAATTTTTTGAAACTGGTGCGAGGAACACACACAGTTTCTATTTGTCTAACATGTGAACTCTTTTGCTGTGTAAGTCCCGGATTCAGGACGGCATTGCTTCGTTGTTCAGAGCAGGAGGAAGCACAGTTCAGCGGCAAGACTGTTATTTCACTGCCAGACGGACAGGGGTCAGTGTTTGCCCCACAGTACTCACCTGGTGCTGGTGTGGAGGAGAAGAAGGAGGAGGAAGGTGGTGGGGGGCCGAGGGGGCTCCGATGTAAACAGTCACGCCCCCCCCCCTCGGGGAACACTGAATAACGTGGCGTAAGTAATCCGTCAACAAGCTGGTGCCATATCTATTTGGGTGAAGACCATCTGGACGATAAGCCACGTGACGCTTCCAGAAAAGGCCAAAGTTATTCACAAAAATAAAGTTAAACGAGCTACATGCAGACTGGAGCCACATGTTCAACGCCACTACGCGACTGTAGAGGCAGTCCCCCCGTTTTACAGTCAGGACTGGACCAGAAATACAAACAGATAATCCAGAGGACTGAGGAGGCGGAACAGATCCATACAGTGCTTCTTTGTGACCTCGGACTGCTGCAGCTTCATATCGTTGATCCCCACATGCACCACTACCCTGGAGATGGTGTCAGGCTGGGAGTGAAGCAGAGGAGGGACACGTATGAGCCGGTCTGGGACAGAAGCTCCGGGAACACAGAGAGTGACTGCGTTAAAAAAGCGGACGTGCCTCATAATGGAATCTCCAACAATCAAAGTGGTCGGGGCAAAGAGTGGACGTGGAGGCCGGTTGCGGAGAGGGCGCCCGGTGGATCCAACGGGTTCATCCGAAGCAGAATCCGAGTCCGAGCGCTGCTGAACACATGGAGAGGGGGAGCAGGGGTGCTGACTCTCAGCTCCGGGCGATCCACGCTGTGTGCTCGGGGGCGCTGGAGCGGTGAGAGGGGCTGGCTCTGGGCGCTGCTGCTGACCCGGTGGAGGTGAGCGGTGGCGATGATGGCTTGCTACCCCTGTCTGAGGCCGCTGCACTGGGGTCGAAGAAGGGGAATGCGCCAACATGGCTGATGGACCACTCTTACGTCTGAGAACAGCTTCCTTTAGGAGTGTCTTTCTGGCAGAGGACTTGGATTTGCGAGGATACGAGGGAGAGTGCGCTGCAGAGTCCTGGGGTTCTCATCGGTCATTCTTTTCATGTTGCCAAACGTATTCTAACCATCTCTCCCAGACTTTATGTAAATGGTCCACCTTCAGCAGACGCCGTTATTTTTTCCATATAACATTAAACATCACAACATACCATCAGTCCATTCCTCTCAGATAGAATCAGGCCATCTCCGCGTAAGAGCTTTTTTACTGCCAACAGCATCATACAAAACATTTTATAGTAATCTTTTCTTTTCAAATTCAGATTTTCTGTTTTCCCAAAAACATAATTTCAAAAGTGGTTGGAATTTTAACTTCTAACACTTCCTCTATCGCCACTTTCTAATCTGTCCAAACTGCAGTGATGAGGGAGAGCTTCTCTATGTTCCTCTGAGGACAAACTGCAGTGATGAGGGAGAGCTTCTCCATGTTCCTCTGAGACAAACTGCAGTGATGAGGGAGAGCTTCTGTATGTTCCTCAGGACAAACTGCAGTGATGAGGGAGAGTTTCTGTATGTTCCTCTGAGACAAACTGCAGTGATGAGGGAGAGCTTCTGTATGTTCTTGAGGACAAACTGCAGTGATGAGGGAGAGCTTCTCCATGTTCTTGAGGACAAACTGCAGTGATGAGGGAGAGCTTCTCCATGTTCCTCAGGACAAACTGCAGTGATGAGGGAGAGCTTCTGTATGTTCCTCAGGACAAACTGCAGTGATGAGGGAGAGCTTCTCCATGTTCCTCAGGACAAACTGCAGTGATGAGGGAGAGCTTCTGTATGTTCCTCTGAGGACAAACTGCAGTGATGAGGGAGAGCTTCTCCATGTTCCTCTGAGGACAAACTGCAGTGATGAGGGAGAGCTTCTCCATGTTCCTCAGGACAAACTGCAGTGATGAGGGAGAGCTTCTGTATGTTCCTCAGGACAAACTGCAGTGATGAGGGAGAGTTTCTGTATGTTCCTCATGACAAACTGCAGTGATGAGGGAGAGCTTCTCCATGTTCTTGAGGACAAACTGCAGTGATGAGGGAGAGCTTCTCCATGTTCCTCTGAGACAAACTGCAGTGATGAGGGAGAGCTTCTGTATGTTCCTCAGGACAAACTGCAGTGATGAGGGAGAGCTTCTCCATGTTCCTCTGAGACAAACTGCAGTGATGAGGGAGAGCTTCTGTATGTTCCTCAGGACAAACTGCAGTGATGAGGGAGAGTTTTCTGTATGTTCCTCGTGACAAACTGCAGTGATGAGGGAGAGCTTCTCCATGTTCTTGAGGACAAACTGCAGTGATGAGGGAGAGCTTCTCCATGTTCCTCTGAGACAAACTGCAGTGATGAGGGAGAGCTTCTGTATGTTCCCCAGGACAAACTGCAGTGATGAGGGAGAGCTTCTCCATGTTCCTCAGGACAAACTGCAGTGATGAGGGAGAGCTTCTCCATGTTCCTCTGAGACAAACTGCAGTGATGAGGGAGAGCTTCTCCATGTTCCTCAGGACAAACTGCAGTGATGAGGGAGAGCTTCTCCATGTTCCTCAGGACAAACTGCAGTGATGAGGGAGAGCTTCTCCATGTTCCTCAGGACAAACTGCAGTGATGAGGGAGAGCTTCTGTATGTTCCTCTGAGGACAAACTGCAGTGATGAGGGAGAGCTTCTCTATGTTCCTCAGGACAAACTGCAGTGATGAGGGAGAGCTTCTCCATGTTCCTCAGGACAAACTGCAGTGATGAGGGAGAGCTTCTGTATGTTCCTCAGGACAAACTGCAGTGATGAGGGAGAGCTTCTGTATGTTCCTCTGAGGACAAACTGCAGTGATGAGGGAGAGCTTCTCTATGTTCCTCAGGACAAACTGCAGTGATGAGGGAGAGCTTCTCCATGTTCCTCAGGACAAACTGCAGTGATGAGGGAGAGCTTCTGTATGTTCCTCAGGACAAACTGCAGTGATGAGGGAGAGCTTCTCCATGTTCCTCAGGACAAACTGCAGTGATGAGGGAGAGCTTCTGTATGTTCCTCTGAGGACAAACTGCAGTGATGAGGGAGAGCTTCTCCATGTTCCTCAGGACAAACTGCAGTGATGAGGGAGAGCTTCTGTATGTTCCTCTGAGCAGGACATACCTCAGTGTGTTCTTCTTCTGTATTCATGATAATGGGTTTGTTTCCGTCCTTCCTCTCCAGCCCAGACCACATCTGCCTTTCTGTCTGTTACATCACAGTCTCATCAGATTTAAGTCCAGAATCCTGAATAACTTCAAAGTAACTCTTGGACTGTGATCCTTTTGCATCCGTCACAACTTTCATTCTCTCTGCTCACGATTCTGAAGCATCTTCTTTAATGTTTTCTCCCAAATAATGTCGTAACTGTAAAAATCTGTGGAAATCATGGTTCTGGAGGCCATGATCATATCCCCCAGTCTGACTCTGTGTCTATGGTGTGAAGTCTGTGTCGATGGTGTGAAGTCTGCGTCTATGGTGTGAAGTCTGCGTCTATGGTGTGAAGTCTGCGTCTATGGTGTGAAGTCTGCGTCTATGGTGTGAAGTCTGCGTCTATGGTGTGAAGTCTGCGTCTATGGTGTGAAGTCAGGGGGGGGGGCAGTCCGCAGGTGTAGATGGAGGAGGCCAGGCTCAGAGATCCCGTCATCGTACCATGAAACAGACAATGGGACAACGGGTGAATAGCAATGAACAAACTACAGTCAGAATCCTAAATATGCTAAACAGATAAAGTAGGAAGGAGGAGAGGATAGTGCAGTTACCATACTTCTCCAGCAGGGGGCTCCCTATGCAGCTTGACTGACAGTCTGAGGAGTTTAGCCTTCCCTGAGCCTTACCTTCCTAGCCATATGCTAAACTAAAGAGGACTGTTTTAAACCTAGCCTTGAGCGTTTCCTTATATGGGCCTGTCTCCTCTGTTTCCTGCAGAGCTCTCGGTTCTTCCGGGTCCACCAGGTGCTCCCGGTGGCAGACTTCTCTCTCCGCGAGCCCTCCCAGCTGGTCCTGTCTCTGCCCTTCCTGCAGTTCCTCCACAGTCTGCCGCTGCAGTACAACTACCCTCTGTACCGGGACATCTTCCAACGCTTTGGGACTCACTACCTCAGCTCAGGGACCGTGGGCGGACACTACGACCTCCTGTACCAGTACAGCCAGGAGACACTCGACGCATCTGGTACTGAGACACCACTCTCTCTGGTCTCTCTCTGGTCTCTCTCTGGTCTCTCTCTGGTCTCTCTCTGGTCTCTCTCTGGTTCTCTCTCTGGTCTCTCTCTCTGGTCTCTCTCTCTGGTCTCTCTCTCTGGTCTCTCTCTGGGCTCTCTCTGGTCTCTCTCTGGTTCTCTCTCTGGGCTCTCTCTGGTCTCTCTCTCTGGTCTCTCGCTCTGGTCACTCTCTGGTCTCTCTCTGGGCTCTCTCTGGTCTCTCTCTCTGGTCTCTCTCTGGTCTCTCTGGTCTCTCTGGTTCTCTCTGGTCTCTCTCTGGTTCTCTCTCTGGGCTCTCTCTGGTCTCTCTCTCTGGTCTCTCTCTCTGGTCACTCTCTGGTCTCTCTCTGGGCTCTCTCTGGTCTCTCTCTCTGGTCTCTCTCTCTGGTCACTCTCTGGTCTCTCTCTGGGCTCTCTCTGGTCTCTCTCTCTGGTCTCTCTCTGGTCTCTCTCTGGTCTCTCTCTGGTCTCTCTCTGGTTCTCTCTCTGGTCTCTCTCTCTGGTCTCTCTCTCTGGTCTCTCTCTCTGGTCTCTCTCTGGGCTCTCTCTGGTCTCTCTCTGGTCTCTCTCTGGTCTCTCTCTGGTTCTCTCTCTGGTCTCTCTCTGGTCTCTCTCTCTGGTCTCTCTCTCTGGTCACTCTCTGGTCTCTCTCTGGTCTCTCTCTCTGGTCTCTCTCTGGTCTCTCTGGTTCTCTCTGGTCTCTCTGGTTCTCTCTGGTGTCTTACTGGTCTTTGCTTCAGGGATGTCAGAGGACACGTTCAGAGGGTGTGTGGGGCAGGAGACCTTCTTCACAGTCGTCCTCTACAGTCAGTACAGCAAGAGCGACCGCTGCAAGAACGAGGAGACCAGAGAGACCACCAGAGGTACTGAGACCGTAAACCAGGACTGAGACCGTAGACCAGGACTGAGACTGTAGACCAGGACTTAGACTGTAGACCAGGACTGAGGCTGTAGACCAGGACTGAGACTGTAGACCAGGACCGAGGCTGTAGACCAGGACTGAGACTGTAGACCAGGACTGAGGCTGTAGACCAGGACTGAGGCTGTAGACCAGGACTGAGGCTGTAGACCAGGACTGAGAATGTAGACCAGTACTGAGGCTGTAGACCCAGGACTGAGACTGTAGACCCAGGACTGAGACTGTAGACCAGGACTGAGACTGTAGACCCAGGACTGAGACTGTAGACCAGGACTGAGACTGTAGACCCAGGACTGAGGCTGTAGACCCAGGACTGAGGCTCTATGGTCCTCCAGGCTCCTTCATTGAGCGCTCAGAGAAGTCCTTCTCCATGGTCCGTGGGGGTGAGGTCAGAGAGGCCGCCCGCCTCAGCAGAGACCTGGGGCAGGTCCCCCCAGACCAAGAGGCCTTCAGGGCCTGGGCGCGCTCTGTCCTGAAGCAGCTGGACCTGGTGGACTTCAAGGTGAGACTGTGATTATGAAACAATGTATCGAGAAGAAACAAAAGATCAGTCCATTTTGATCTCACTCCCAATCTCTCTCTGGTCTCCCTCTTTTCTCTTTCTGGTATTTCTCTCTCTCTGGTGCCTCTCGACTCTCTCCCTGGTCTCTCTCTCTGGTCTCTCTCTGGTCTCTCTCTGGTCTCACTGGTCTCCCTCTGGTCTCTCTCTGGTCCCTCTCTGGTCTCTCTCTGGTCCCTCTCTGGTCTCTCTCTGGTCTCTCTCTGGTCTCTCTCTGGTCCCTCTCTGGTCTCTCTCTGGTCTCACTGGTCTCCCTCTGGTCTCTCTCTGGTCCCTCTCTGGTCTCTCTCTGGTCCCTCTCTGGTCTCTCTCTCTGGTCTCTCTCTGGTCTCTCTCTGGTCCCTCTCTGGTCTTTCTCTGGTCTCTCTGGTCGCTCTCTGGTCTCTCTGGTCGCTCTCTGGTCTCTCTGGTCTCACTGGTCTCTCTCTCTGGTCTGTCTGGTCTTTTGGGTCTCTCTGATCTCTCTCTGGTCTCTCTCTGGTCTCTCTGGTCTCTAGCTCCGCCCCCTCACAGACCTGGTCCGTGGTCTCCCCTGTGCTATCACTAAGCGGCGCCACCTGCAGAGGGCGCTGTTGCAGTACATGCAGGAGGCGGACCCCTGCAGCTGCTCCCCGTGCCCCAACAACGGCCGCGCGCTCCTGCAGGGGACTGAGTGCGTGTGCGTGTGTCAGACCGGAACCTACGGGGCCAACTGCGAGATCAGGGCCCCCGACTTCACCTCAGGTAGGAGACAAGGGTATTTATGTGGACCAGAGACCAGAGAGAGACCAGAGAGAGACCAGAGAGAGAGACCAGAGAGAAACCAGAGAGAGACCAGAGAGAGACCAGACAGAGACCAGAGAGAGAGACCAGAGAGAGACCAGAGAGAGACCAGAGAGAAACCAGAGAGAGACCAGAGAGAGACCAGACAGAGACCAGAGAGAGAGACCAGAGAGAGAGACCTGACAGAGACCAGAGAGAGAGACCAGAGAGAGAGACCAGAGAGAGACCAGAGAGAGACCAGACAGAGACCAGAGAGAGAGACCAGAGAGAGAGACCAGAGAGAGACCAGATAGGGACCAGATAGGGACCAGAGAGAGACCAGAGAGAGAGACCAGAGAGAGACCAGAGAGAGAGACCAGAGAGAGAGAGCAGAGGGAGAGACCAGAGAGAGACCAGAGAAAGAGACCAGAGAGAGACCAGATAGGGACCAGAGAGAGACCAGAGAGAGACCAGAGAGAGAGAGACCAGAGAGAGACCAGAGAGAGACCAGAGAGAGAGACCAGAGAGAGAGACCAGAGAGAGAGAGACCAGAGAGAGAGACCAGAGAGAGAGACCAGAGAGAGACCAGAGAGAGAGACCAGAGAGAGAGTCCAGAGAGAGAGAGACCAGAGAGAGAGACCAGAGAGAGACCAGAGAGAGAGACCAGAGAGAGAGACCAGAGAGAGAGACCAGAGAGAGAGAGACCAGAGAGAGACCAGAGAGAGAGAGACCAGAGAGAGAGACCAGAGAGAGACCAGAGAGAGACCAGAGAGAGAGACCAGAGAGAGAGACCAGAGAGAGACCAGAGAGAGAGACCAGAGAGAGACCAGAGAGAGAGAGAGAGACCAGAGAGAGACCAGAGAGAGACCAGAGAGAGACCAGAGAGAGACCAGAGAAAGAGACCAGAGAGAGAGACCAGAGAGAGAACCAGAGAGAGAGACCAGAGAGAGAGACCAGAGAGAGAGACCAGAGAGAGAGACCAGAGAGAGAGACCAGAGAGAGAGAGCAGAGGGAGAGACCAGAGAGAGACCAGAGAAAGAGACCAGAGAGAGACCAGATAGGGACCAGAGAGAGACCAGAGAGAGAGAGCAGAGGGAGAGACCAGAGAGAGACCAGAGAGAGACCAGAGAAAGAGACCAGAGAGAGACCGGGCGGCACGGTGGCTGAGTAGATAGCACTCTCGCCTCTCAGCAAGAAGGTCCTGGGTTCGAATCCCGGTCGGACCAGGGCCTTTCTGAGTGGAGTTTGCATGTTCTCCCCGTGTCTGCGTAGGTTTCCTCCGGGTACTCCGGTTTCCCCTACCACTAAAAATATGTCCAATAGTTCTAGCATGTGCTTCCTGTACTGGCCCCGCTCCCATCTCTGTGTGGAGTGAGAGACAAATGCCCAAAATTAACAATTGTAAACCGCTTTGAGACTCAGATCTGCAGTGAAAAGGCGGTATATAAATAAAAACTTACTTACTTACTTACTTACCAGAGAGAGACCAGATAGGGACCAGAGAGAGACCAGAGAGAGAGACCAGAGAAAGAGACCAGAGAGAGAGACCAGAGAGAGAGACCAGAGAAAGAGACCAGAGAGAGAGACCAGAGAGAGAGACCAGAGAGAGAAAAAGCCACACCTTCCCGAAGTATGACAGTGAGAGCTTCACTCACCTCGTGGTGTGACCCATCTGTCTCTGTGTCTGTCTCTGTGTCTGTGTCTGTCTCTGTGTCTGTCTCTGTGTCTGTGTCTGTCTCTGTCTCTGTGTCTGTCTCTGTGTCTGTCTCTGTGTCTGTGTCTGTGTCTGTGTCTGTGTCTGTCTCTGTGTCTGTCTCTGTCTCTGTGTTTAGAGACAGAGACAGACATTTTACTTGGGGACTTGAACATACACAGTGACTGTGCACACAACACAGTTTCCACAGACTTCCTGGACATCTTGCAAAATGTCCAGGAAGTCTGTGGGTCACATTGCAAAATCTGTTCCACTGGCCTACACATAAACTACACATAAACTACGCATAAACTACGCATAAACTACACATAAACTACACATAAACTACACATAAACTATGCATAAACTACGCATAAACTACACATAAACTACACATAAACTACGCATAAACTACACATAAACTACACATAAACTACGCATAAACTACACATAAACTACACATAAACTACACATAAACTACGCATAAACTACACATAAACTACACATAAACTACACATAAACTACGCATAAACTACACATAAACTATGCATAAACTACACATAAACTACGCATAAACTACACATAAACTACGCATAAACTACACATAAACTACACATAAACTACGCATAAACTACGCATAAACTACACATAAACTACACATAAACTACGCATAAACTACGCATAAACTACGCATAAACTACACATAAACTACACATAAACTACACATAAACTATGCATAAACTACACATAAACTACGCATAAACTACACATAAACTACGCATAAACTACACATAAACTACGCATAAACTACACATAAACTACACATAAACTACGCATAAACTACGCATAAACTACACATAAACTACACATAAACTACGCATAAACTACACAAACTATACATAAACTACACATAAACTACGCATAAACTACACATAAACTACACATAAACTACGCATAAACTACACATAAACTACGCATAAACTACACATAAACTACGCATAAACTACGCATAAACTATACATGAACTACACATAAACTACACATAAACTACGCATAAACTACACATAAACTACGCATAAACTATACATGAACTACACATAAACTACACATAAACTACGCATAAACTACACATAAACTACACATAAACTACACATAAACTACGCATAAACTACACATAAACTACACATAAACTACGCATAAACTACACATAAACTACGCATAAACTACACATAAACTACACATAAACTACACATAAACTACGCATAAACTACGCATAAACTACGCATAAACTACACATAAACTACACATAAACTACACATAAACTATGCATAAACTACACATAAACTACGCATAAACTACACATAAACTACGCATAAACTACACATAAACTACACATAAACTACGCATAAACTACGCATAAACTACACATAAACTACACATAAACTACGCATAAACTACACATAAACTATACATAAACTACACATAAACTACGCATAAACTACACATAAACTACACATAAACTACACATAAACTACACATAAACTACGCATAAACTACACATAAACTACGCATAAACTACGCATAAACTATACATGAACTACACATAAACTACACATAAACTACGCATAAACTACACATAAACTACACATAAACTACACATAAACTACGCATAAACTACACATAAACTACACATAAACTACGCATAAACTACACATAAACTACGCATAAACTACACATAAACTACGCATAAACTACACATAAACTACGCATAAACTACACATAAACTCACTCTCTCATACAGACCGTGCACCATCAGACCACCTGGCCCTGTCATTTCATATCCACATCCCGACCCCCACATCAAGCAAACCCGCACTCTCTCTTTCTGCAAACTCTATCCCCTCTATCCCACCACCCTCTGTCCCACCACCCTCTGTCCCACCCCCCTCTGTCCCACCACCCTCTGTCCCACCACCCTCTGTCCCACCCCCCCTCTGTCCCACCCCCCCTCAGACCTCACCTCTCCCACAAACACTCCTGACCTGGTGTCCTACAATAACACACTCTCCTCCTGCTCCTCTGGCTCCGGTCAAAACTGCATCTGTCACTTTCACCCGTTCTGCACCATGGTACACCACAGAGTAATGCAACCTCAAAAAACAACGCCGTCAACTTGAACGCCTTCACAATAAAACCGGCCTCACTGTTCATCTCCAAGCCCTCAACGACCACACCCTCCTCTACAGATCTTTCCACAGCCCGCACTGCTTTTGACTCTGACATGATCACCTCTGGCTCCTCCAATCCCCGAACCCTGTTTTCCACCGTCAACAAACTCCTCAAACCTCCGGACAATATAACTCAATCCTTTCCCTCTCCCCGAACTGTAAGCCCCCTCTCCCACCTGTCACCTATCTCAGAACCAGATCTCCAAAAGTTTTCACTAATATGAAATTCTCCACCTGCCCCCTGGACCCCGTCCCTTCATCTTTTGTCCAATCATGCCTCTCGTCTCTCAGCCCACTCATTTTAGAAATAATCAACTCCTCTCTCACCTCTGGCACCGTGCCCCCCGCCTTCAAAATGGCAGCTATCACACCCATCCTCAAAACACCAAACCTGGATCCAGACGACCCCACCATCTGCCGCCCCATCTCCAACCTTCCCTTTCGATCTGTCGCTGCTCAACTCCAACTCTCTCTTTGACAAATGTTAATCCGGTTTCCGTTCCCACCACAGAAACAGCACTGCTCAAAGTCACCAACGACTCCTCCTTGACCCCACCCTTTCTTTCAGGCCCCACATCCGCATCATCATCTGGAACTCTCTCCTCCCTCACCTCTGGAACTCTCTCCCCCTTCACCTCTGGAACTCTCTCCCCCTTCACCTCTGGAACTCTCTCCTCCCTCACCTCTGGAACTCTCTCCCCCTTCACCTCTGGAACTCTCTCCTCCCTCACCTCTGGAACTCTCTCCTCCCTCACCTCTGGAACTCTCTCCTCCCTCACCTCTGGAACTCTCTCCCCCCTCACCTCTGGAACTCTCTCCTCCCTCACCTCTGGAACTCTCTCCCCCTTCACCTCTGGAACTCTCTCCCCCCTCACCTCTGGAACTCTCTCCCCCTTCACCTCTGGAACTCTCTCCCCCTTCACCTCTGGAACTCTCTCCTCCCTCACCTCTGGAACTCTCTCCTCCCTCACCTCTGGAACTCTCTCCTCCCTCACCTCTGGAACTCTCTCCCCCTTCACCTCTGGAACTCTCTCCCCCCTCACCTCTGGAATTCTCTCCCCCTTCACCTCTGGAACTCTCTCCCCCTTCACCTCTGGAACTCTCTCCTCCCTCACCTCTGGAACTCTCTCCTCCCTCACCTCTGGAACTCTCTCCTCCCTCACCTCTGGAACTCTCTCCCCCTTCACCTCTGGAACTCTCTCCCCCTCACCTCTGGAACTCTCTCCTCCCTCACCTCTGGAACTCTCTCCCCCCTCACCTCTGGAACTCTCTCCTCCCTCACCTCTGGAACTCTCTCCTCCCTCACCTCTGGAACTCTCTCCCCCCTCACCTCTGGAACTCTCTCCTCCCTCACCTCTGGAACTCTCTCCCCCCTCACCTCTGGAACTCTCTCCCCCCTCACCTCTGGAACTCTCTCCCCCCTCACCTCTGGAACTCTCTCCCCCCTCACCTCTGGAACTCTCTCCTCCCCCACCTCTGGAACTCTCTCCTCCCTCACCTCTGGAACTCTCTCCCCCCTCACCTCTGGAACTCTCTCCTCCCTCACCTCTGGAACTCTCTCCTCCCTCACCTCTGGAACTCTCTCCTCCCTCACCTCTGGAACTCTCTCCCCCCTCACCTCTGGAACTCTCTCCCCCCTCACCTCTGGAACTCTCTCCCCCCTCACCTCTGGAACTCTCTCCCCCTCACCTCTGGAACTCTCTCCCCCCTCACCTCTGGAACTCTCTCCTCCCTCACCTCTGGAACTCTCTCCTCCCTCACCTCTGGAACTCTCTCCCCCCTCACCTCTGGAACTCTCTCCCCCCTCACCTCTGGAACTCTCTCCCCCCTCACCTCTGGAACTCTCTCCCCCTCACCTCTGGAACTCTCTCCTCCCTCACCTCTGGAACTCTCTCCTCCCTCACCTCTGGAACTCTCTCCCCCCTCACCTCTGGAACTCCGTCCTCCCTCACCTCTGGAACTCTCTCCCCCCTCACCTCTGGAACTCTCTCCCCCCTCACCTCTGGAACTCTCTCCCCCCTCACCTCTGGAACTCTCTCCCCCCTCACCTCTGGAACTCTCTCCCCCCTCACCTCTGGAACTCTCTCCCCCCTCACCTCTGGAACTCTCTCCCCCTCACCTCTGGAACTCTCTCCCCCCTCACCTCTGGAACTCTCTCCCCCCTCATCTCTGGAACTCTCTCCCCCCTCACCTCTGGAACTCTCTCCCCCCTCACCTCTGGAACTCTCTCCCCCCTCATCTCTGGAACTCTCTCCTCCCGCACCTCTGGAACTCTCTCCCCCCTCACCTCTGGAACTCTCTCCCCCCTCACCTCTGGAACTCTCTCCCCCCTCACCTCTGGAACTCTCTCCCCCCTCACCTCTGGAACTCTCTCCCCCTCACCTCTGGAACTCTCTCCCCCCTCACCTCTGGAACTCTCTCCCCCTCACCTCTGGAACTCTCTCCCCCCTCACCTCTGGAACTCTCTCCCCCCTCACCTCTGGAACTCTCTCCCCTCTCACCTCTGGAAATCTCTCCCCTCTCACCTCTGGAACTCTCTCCTCCCTCACCTCAGGAACTCTCTCCCCACTCACCTCTGGAACTCTCTCCCCCCTCACCTCTGGAACTCTCTCCTCCCTCACCTCTGGAACTCTCTCCCCCCTCACCTCTGGAACTCTCTCCTCCCTCACCTCTGGAACTCTCTCCCCCCTCACCTCAGGAACTCTCTCCCCTCTCACCTCTGGAACTCTCTCCCCCCTCACCTCTGGAACTCTCTCCTCCCTCACCTCTGGAACTCTCTCCTCCCTCACCTCAGGAACTCTCTCCCCTCTCACCTCTGGAACTCTCTCCCTCCTCATCTCTGGAACTCTCTCCTCCCGCACCTCTGGAACTCTCTCCCCCCTCACCTCTGGAACTCTCTCCCCCCTCACCTCTGGAACTCTCTCCCCTCTCACCTCTGGAACTCTCTCCCCCCTCACCTCTGGAACTCTCTCCCCCCTCACCTCTGGAACTCTCTCCTCCCTCACCTCTGGAACTCTCTCCTCCCTCACCTCTGGAACTCTCTCCCCCCTCACCTCTGGAACTCTCTCCCCCCTCACCTCTGGAACTCTCTCCCCCCTCACCTCTGGAACTCTCTCCTCCCTCACCTCTGGAACTCTCTCCTCCCTCACCTCTGGAACTCTCTCCCCCCTCACCTCTGGAACTCTCTCCTCCCTCACCTCTGGAACTCTCTCCCCCCTCACCTCTGGAACTCTCTCCCCCCTCACCTCTGGAACTCTCTCCTCCCTCACCTCTGGAACTCTCTCCCCCCTCACCTCTGGAACTCTCTCCCCCCTCACCTCTGGAACTCTCTTGCTGCAGCCTTCAATCATTTCAGAAAAATACCTTTCTCTTGTACTACGTAGCACCCGGTGTGTGTGTGTCTGTCTAAACGTGTGTGTGTCTGTGTGTGTGTGTGTCTGTCTAAACGTGTGTGTGTGTGTGTGTCTGTCTAAACGTGTGTGTGTGTGTGTGTCTGTCTAAACGTGTGTGTGTGTTTATGTGTGTGTGTGTGTGTCTGTCTAAACGTGTGTGTGTGTTTGTGTGTGTGTGTGTCTGTCTAAACGAGTGTGTGTGTGTGTGTGTCTGTCTAAACGTGTGTGGGTGTGTGTCTGTGTGTGTGTCTGTCTAAACGTGTCTGTGTTTGTGTGTGTGTGTGTCTGTCTAAACGAGTGTGTGTGTGTGTGTGTCTGTCTAAACGTGTGTGGGTGTGTGTCTGTGTGTGTGTCTGTCTAAACGTGTGTGTGTGTGTATGTGTGTGTGTCTGTCTAAACGTGTGTGTGTGTCTGTCTAAACGTGTCTGTGTGTTTGTGTGTGTGTGTGTCTGTCTAAACGAGTGTGTGTGTGTGTGTCTGTCTAAACGTGTGTGTGTGTGTGTATGTGTGTGTGTGTGTCTGTCTAAACGTGTCTGTGTGTTTGTGTGTGTGTCTGTCTAAACGTGTGTGTGTGTGTATGTGTGTGTGTCTGTCTAAACGTGTGTGTGTGTCTGTCTAAACGTGTCTGTGTGTTTGTGTGTGTGTGTGTCTGTCTAAACGAGTGTCTGTGTGTGTGTCTGTCTAAACGTGTGTGTGTGTGTGTATGTGTGTGTGTGTGTCTGTCTAAACGTGTCTGTGTGTTTGTGTGTGTGTCTGTCTAAACGTGTGTGTGTGTGTGTGTGTGTGTGTTTGTGTCTGTCTAAACGTGTCTGTGTGTGTGTGTGTCTGTCTAAACGTGTCTGTGTGTTTGTGTGTGTGTGTGTCTGTCTAAACGTGTCTGTGTGTGTGTGTCGGTCTAAACGTGTGTGTGTGTGTGTGTGTCTGTCTAAACGTGTGTGTGTGTGTGTGTCTGTCTAAACGTGTGTGTGTGTGTCTGTCTAAACGTGTCTGTGTGTTTGTGTGTGTGTGTGTCTGTCTAAACGTGTGTGTGTGTGTCTGTCTAAACGTGTCTGTGTGTTTGTGTGTGTGTGTGTGTGTCTGTCTAAACGTGTCTGTGTGTTTGTGTGTGTGTGTGTCTGTCTAAACGTGTGTGTGTGTGTGTCTGTCTAAACGTGTCTGTGTGTTTGTGTGTGTGTGTGTCTGTCTAAACGGTGTGTGTGTGTGTCTGTCTAAACGTGTCTGTGTGTTTGTGTGTGTGTGTGTCTGTCTAAAGTGTCTGTGTGTTGTGTGTGTGTGTGTCTGTCTAAACGTGTGTGTGTCTGTCTAAACGTGTGTGTGTGTGTCTGTCTAAACGTGTCTGTGTGTTTGTGTGTGTGTGTGTCTGTCTAAACGTGTCTGTGTGTTTGTGTCTGTCCAAACGTGTGTGTGTGTGTGTGTCTGTCCAAACGTGTGTGTGTGTGTGTGTCTGTCCAAACGTGTGTGTGTGTGTGTGTCTGTCCAAACGTGTGTGTGTGTGTGTGTCTGTCCAAACGTGTGTGTGTGTGTGTGTCTGTCTAAACGTGTGTGTGTGTGTGTATGTGTGTGTGTTTGTCTGTCTAAACGTGTCTGTGTGTTTGTGTGTGTGTGTGTCTGTCTAAACGTGTGTGTGTCGGTCTAAACGTGTGTATCCTGAATTGTGAAGCGTCTCTGAGTGTTTGAAGAGCGCTCTATAAACCGATGTAAGGCGAGTTTATCTGTATAGCACGTTGATATCATCAGATGCTGTGGACGGGGCCTGGAGCTGCTGGAGCTCTTGGGGCAGTTGCAGGTCTTCTCTGAGTCGCCACAGGACTCGTCGGTGTGATAACCCGTCTCCTGCAAGAGGAGGCCACACCTGCCCTGGGGCAAGCCGCCAGGACGAGCCCTGCCTCATCTCCCTCTTTCAACAGTAACACACTTCCCTCTGCTTTTCATTCACACCCAAGAGACCTGGTCTCTCTCTGGTCTCTCTCTGGTCTGTCTCTGGTCTGTCTCTGGTCTCTCTGGTCTCTCTCTGGTCTCTCTCTGGTCTCTCTCTCTGGTCTCTCTCTCTGGTCTCTCTCTGGTCTCTCTCTCTGGTCTCTCTCTGGTCTCTCTCTGGTCTCTCTCTCTGGTCTCTCTCTGGTCTCTCTCTCTGGTCTGTCTCTGGTCTTTCTCTGTTCTCCCTCTGGTCTCCCTCTGGTCTCTCTCTGGTCTCTCTCTGGTCTCTCTCTGGTCTGTCTCTGGTCTGTCTCTGGTCTCGCACTCTGGTCTCTCTCTGGTCTCTCTCTGGTCTCCCTCTGGTCTCTCTCTGGTCTCTCTCTGGTCTCTCTCTGGTCTCTCTCTGGTCTCTCTCTGGTCTCTCTCTGGTCTCTCTCTGGTCTCTCTCTGGTCTCTCTCTGGTCTCTCTCTGTTCTCCCTCTGGTCTCTCTCTGGTCTCCCTCTGGTCTCTCTCTGGTCTCTCTCTGGTCTCTCTCTGGTCTCTCTCTGGTCTCTCTCTGGTCCCCTTCTGGTCTCTCTCTGGTCTCTCTCTGGTCTCTCTCTGGTCTCTCTCTGGTCTCTCTCTGGTCTCCCTCTGCTCTCTCTCTGGTCTCTCTCTCCGGTCTCCCTCTGGTCTCCCTCTGGTCTCCCTCCGGTCTCCCTCTGGTCCCTGACTGTCTCTCTCACAGACAGGAGACCTGTGATAATGATGATGACTTCACTGATGGTTGGTTGGATGAACTTCCTCCTGGGTTCAAAGGGTGTCTGCGACCGAAGAGACCGCAGAACGGGTACCTGCGGGTCAGTGTCTCTGTGTCTGTGTCTCAGTGTCTGTGTCTCAGTGTCATTGTCTCTGTGTCTCAGTGTCAGTGTCTGTGTCTCAGTGTCAGTGTCTGTGTCTGTGTCTCAGTGTCTGTGTCTCAGTGTCATTGTCTCTGTGTCTCAGTGTCAGTGTCTGTGTCTCAGTGTCAGTGTCTGTATCTCAGTGTCATTGTCTCTGTGTCTCAGTGTCAGTGTCTGTGTCTCAGTGTCAGTGTCTGTGTCTGTGTCTCTGTGTCTGTGTCAGTGTCTCTGTGTCTGTGTCTCAGTGTCAGTGTCTCTGTGTCTGTGTCTCAGTGTCAGTGTCTGTGTCAGTGACTCTGTGTCTGTGTCAGTGTGTCTCTGTGTCAGTGTCAGTGTCTCTGTGTCTGTGTCTCAGTGTCAGTGTCTCTGTGTCTGTGTCTCAGTGTCAGTGTCTCTGTGTCTCAGTGTCAGTGTCTGTGTCAGTGACTCTGTGTCAGTGTCTCTGTGTCTCAGTGTCAGTGTCTGTGTCAGTGACTCAGTGTCAGTGTCTCTGTGTCAGTGTGTGTCTGTGTCAGTGTCTCTGTGTCAGTGTCTCTGTGTCTGTGTCTCTGTGTCTGTGTCAGTGTGTCTCTGTGTCTCAGTGTCAGTGTCAGTGTCTCTGTGTCTGTGTCTCAGTGTCAGTGTTTCTGTGTCAATGTGTCTCTGTGTCAGTGTATCTGTGTCTCTGTGTCAGTGTCAGTGTCTCTGTGTCTGTGTCTCAGTGTCAGTGTCTCTGTGTCTGTGTCAGTGTGTCTCTGTGTCAGTGTCTCTGTGTCAGTGTCTGTGTCAGTTTCTCTGTGTCTCTGTGTCTCAGTGTCTGTGTATGTGTCTCTGTGTCAGTCTGTGTCTGTGTGTCAGTGTCTCTGTGTCTGTGTCAGTGTGTCTCTGTGTCAGTGTCAGTGTGTCTGTGTCAGTGTGTCTCTGTGTCAGTGTCTGTGTGTCAGTGTCTCTGTGTCTGTGTCTCTGTGTCTGTGTATGTGTCTCTGTGTCAGTCTCTGTGGCTGTGTGTCAGTGTCTCTGTGTCAGTGTCAGTGTGTCTCTGTGTCAGTGTCAGTGTGTCTCTGTGTCAGTGTGTCTCTGTGTCAGTGTCAGTGTCTCTGTGTGTCAGTGTCTCTGTGTCAGTGTGTCTCTGTGTCAGTGTCAGTGTGTCTCTGTGTCAGTGTCTGTGTGTCAGTGTCTCTGTGTCTGTGTCTCTGTGTCTGTGTATGTGTCTCTGTGTCAGTCTCAGTGTCTGTGTGTCAGTGTCTCTGTGTCAGTGTCTCTGTGTCAGTGTGTCTCTGTGTCAGTGTCAGTGTGTCTCTGTGTCAGTGTCAGTGTCTCTGTGTGTCAGTGTCTCTGTGTCAGTGTCAGTGTGTCTCTGTGTCAGTGTCAGTGTCTCTGTGTCAGTGTGTCTCTGTGTCTGTGTCAGTGTCTCTGTGTGTCAGTGTCTCTGTGTCTGTGTCTGTGTCTCTGTGTCAGTGTGTCTCTGTGTCAGTGTGTCTCTGTGTCAGTGTCAGTGTCTCTGTGTCTGTGTCAGTGTGTCTCTGTGTCAGTGTCAGTGTCTCTGTGTCTGTGTCAGTGTGTCTCTGTGTCTGTGTCTCAGTGTCTGTGTCTGTGTCTGTAGAAGTCCAAACAGTTCTATGAGCCTGGAGAGGATGAGGAGATGGTCTGTATCTCCGGGTTCCAGCTGCAGGGATACCAGTTCTTCAGCTGTCGACCAGATGGGACCTGGGGACCATTACAGGGACTATGTACCAGTGAGTACCAGACCAGACCAGAGAGAGACCAGAGAGAGACCATAAATACAGGCTGATGTCTCTCTTCTCTGGTCCAGGACAGACCTGTCTCCCCCCTGAGGTCCCCGAGGGGATCGTTCTGTTCCCTGATAAGCTTCAGTACAAAGTGGGGGAGTCTCTGGGCTTCAACTGTGCAGGACCCGGCCTCAGTCCTCGACCGCAGAGCTACCATAAGTGTACCATCGATCTGACCTGGAACCCCGAGGTGCCCCTGGACCTGACCTGCTCCAATGGTGTCCACCACACACACACACACACACACACACACACACACACACACACACACATACACATTCACTGTTTGAAACATTAACACAAAGGCTGCTTGTCCACGGTCCTCTTTCCCATAACCTTCGCCACCACCTGCATGGGCCTATCTCAAATGTTCTTACAGCGTGTTCCTTCTTATCAAATTCGAAGGTCCTTTTCTGCGCTTAATGTATCTCTCCCAAACTTTCCCGTCTGCAGCTGCGTATGACTCATCTCTCTTGTGACGAATGTCCATTGTTCTGTCTGACACACCTCCAGTATAAGATCATAAGACATGTTTGTTGGGGGAACAGACAGACACGGCATCGCTCCAGATCCCGCTTCTGTTTGACTCCTTTCTGCGCAGAAATGTCATTTTTGTACTCATCACTTCTGTGAATAAAACTGCACCAAAGGACAAGTTTGTTTCCTCTCGGTTTCATTCATTTGAGGCAATAGAATTTCCATAACAATTTGGTGTCAGAAGTGGTCTCGAAGGCTTGACCGTTGAAACGCAGGGGTCCGGATTCGGGGGACTGATCGCCCGGGATTCAAAACCAATCGTCGTCGCTTTCCCATATCTCTGGACGGGCGGACTGACCGGACGTGCTGAGTTTCAACCGTCGCCTCTCGGGATTTTCACACGAAAACAAACGGTAACTTGTTTAATATTTGACTTTCTATGCTTCAGTGGTGATTCCGAGAGGCCCTTTGGTGAGTGCATGTTTGGCTGCCAGCTGGTGACGGTGCTTGCTCATTCTAATCCAGGCTGTTGGGAAAAAATCTAAGGTTCGAGTCTTAGTCGGAGGTTAGAGTCCTCCGTTGTGAAAACAGGTTGGAGTCCTGTCAGAAAATCTAAGTTTACTCTTAGTCGGAGGTTAGGAGTCCTTCGTTGTGAAGACGGTTAGAGTCCGGTCTAAAAAATCGAAGTTCCACTCTTAGTCGAGGTTAATCCCTTCGTTGTGAAGACACGGTTAGAGTCCTGTCTAAAAAATCTAAGTTTAGTCTTAGTCGGGGGTTCGAGTCCTCTCGTTGTGAAAACAGGTTCGAGTCCTGTCAAAAAAATCTAAGTTTAGTCTTCTGTCTGGGTTTTCGAGTCCTCAGTTGATACTAGATCTGAGTTTGAAGTCTCAGATTCCAGCCATGTGGCTTAGAAGAAAAGGCACAGAGTCACCAGTTTGGGACGCCCCATGCATGACTTTTATGAGTAAGAAACATGGTGAGATTTTAGGGCATGCACTGAAATGTGGGTGGGCTGAAATTAGGTTTTCCCAAAAAGGCTCCTTCAGCTTGAACCAATTGGAAAAGATTAAATCGCAATTGGATGCTCGAGAAACTGTGTTAAAAAAAGGCAGGTCTGTACGTGTGAAAGATTTGAATTGTCTGATGAGAACAGACGGTGGCTGAATGCGTGATGACTGAGGCAAAGCTTAGGGAAAGTAGACAGAAACAATGTATAGGAATCTGCGACTGATACTTCTCCATCTGCTTTTTTTTCGAGCATACCACCGATCCCACGTCAATACGACCGTAGGAACTCCAGAGATGATTGGACCCCGCTGTAACTCCGCTCTCTCACCCCCCCCGGTATCAACAGCAGCAGCTGTCACTGCACAGCGGTCACCTGCAGCAGCGGCACCTGCAGCACCAGCAGCACAGCAGCAGCAGCGTCAGCTGCCCTCCCTCCGCTGCTCCTCGTGCCTGCCCCAGAGGCTTCTGCATCAGCCCCTCCCCTCCTGTCTGGAGCAGCACACAGACACACTCACACTGCTCCTGCTACAATTCACAGTGTGACTCACGATGATGGACAGAATCTCTTTAAATGAACAATGGCATGACGCTGAGAGATGGAAAGACTTTACAAGCACCTATGATAGAATACCCTGGCCCCGAGGGAACCCCCGTTCTGGTTCTGCGTCAAATGGATCAGGAGATGAAAGACTCTGTCAAAGACTGGCCTTCTCCCCACCGCGGGGGTGATTCGATGGCAGACGCATTTCTGGCCTTTTGCAAAGCATGGCGTCCTACGGGCGCTGAAGTTAAAAAGCTTCTCCTCCTGTATTTAAAACCGGAGGGCTTCGCCAAGATAGAGCCGGCGGTCCATCGACAGAATTATGAGACTTTGCGAGCTCTGCAGGCGGAATGGACAGAGGCGAATGCATGGGAGACATATGTGGCCAACATAGTGACAGCTCTCAAGCGTGCGTTCCCAGTGAAATTTGATATGGGAAAGATTAAAGACTGCTCTCAAAAGACAAGTGAGTCAGTTGTGGACTTTTATCATCGTCTTGAGGATGTGTGCGTTGCCCACTCTGGTAGTCAAAAGCCAGACAATTACACTGCCGCAGCTGAGACCACATTCGAGGTGATCTTTAAGATGGCGTTCTGCGAGGGCCTTCCCCAACCGATCCAAGCCGCACTAAAACAGACTTTGGTGGGAGGTTGGCAGGATAATCGCATCCCGGAAATCCTCAGACACGCAAAGCATGCTGAAATAAAGAACACTGAGGAGAACGCTGTAAAAACTGGCGCGCAGGAGACGGCACAACATCAAGCCAATCTCACATTGATCAAAATGACAGGCAGACAATTCCGTCGTGGAGGTCGTGGAGGTAGAGGACGGAGAAGAGGTGGCAACGGACATTTCGAGAACAATCGTGACCACGGACATTTCGAGAACAATCGTGACCACGGACATTTCGAGAACGATCGTGTCCATGACGACCAGGACAAATGTTTCAACTGTGGTGAAATTGGACATTGGAATCGTGACTGTCCCCAGCCACGCCGAGATGCGGGACGCTGGAGTGGACGTGGACGGGGTGCGAGACCGGAGGACCAGCAGAGATTTTCTTCAGATTGATGTCTGGTTGACGTGGGATCTGACACAGCACCTGTACAGATGAGTAATGCACACACTCTTACACACAACACACTAACTGCTAACTGCAATGAAGACGCGCTTGCCACTGATTCACTGCTTGGCTTAATTGAGATAGAATTAGGGAGTTAGAGACGGTGACAGGCCCAACACAGGGACCTACTTAGCTTATGAAAATGAAGCTTACAGAAAAATGCCAACTATTGTTTGTGAAATTGAGGGTAAACCGATCACTTTTTTAGTAGACTCTGTGCAACCCACAGTGTGATTCAGACAAAGGAGCTCTCAATCAAATTAAGTGGCAGAAGTGTTTTTTCCACAAGTGCGAGTGGACAAACGGTACCGGAATCTTTTTCTGTTCCGATCAAATGCACTTGGGCAAACGAGCGTAACCCAGCAACAGCAAAACATTCATTTTTGATGTCTGACCTTTGTCCTGTAAACTTGTTAGGCCGTGATTTAATGATAAAATGGGAAGTTGTGATCACATCGACAGCAGAAGGCCTTAAAATAGACAGAGGTGCGTGCGCAACTAATTTTGTCAAAGTAAACACAAATTGTCCTATGTCTGTATATCAGTGGTGGTTTCATACTGCCAGCGCGAGTCATTTAATGGGGGTGGTTTCTCCATTTCTTAATCCAAAATCTGATATATTGAAAGCTGAGGACTTGCATTGTGTGTGTCATTTACACCATAGCCCTGATTGTGAATTTGAAGAAACGTTTAAACTGGCTCAAATGACTGCTTGATTATTGCTGACGTGTACTTTGATGATTCCAAGTGTGCTGTTTCAGTAGAGTTAAGCCAGTCACAAAAACAATGCTATCGTCTTGAAAATTCAAGTCCTCATATTTCAATAGCAAAAGCAAAGACTGACACATGGCAAACCTTAGGCCTTTTTGTACGCAGATGTACTTTGGCAGAGGACTGGGAGGCGTGTGAACGTGGAGAAAATGTGTTTTATTCACAATCCGTTTGCGCGTATAAAATGTCTCATACGAAGACAGTTGATGTGCTAAATTCAGTGCTTTTGACGTCTTCATATGATAACAATGACGGACCAAATTTGACTCTGACTTCTTTGACTTCTCCGCTTGAGATTTCATCTTTGTTGTCACAAGTACCGGACAGTCTGTGGGCAAAAAGTAAACATGATGTTGGTTTGATCAAAAACTGTCCACCTGTTCGTATTGAAGCTAAATCTGATTATAGACCGAGGCAGCGTCAGTATCCTTTGAGACAGGAGGCCATAGAAGGAATTACACCTGTTTTTGAATCATTTCTTGAGGCTGGCATTATTGTCCCATGTGAGGACTCACCAGTGCAGACACCTATTTTCCCGTAAAGAAAATTAGACCAGCAGATAAACCTACAGAGTGGCGTTTTGTGCAAGACTTGAAGGCTGTGAACGCTGCGATCATCTCTCCTGTTCCCAATGTGCCTAATCCACACACTCTTTTGAGTCAGATACCAGCAGATGCAGAGTGGTTTTCTGTAGTGGACTTATCAAATGCTTTCTTTTCTGTACCTGTGGACAGGGATTCACAATTTGGTTTGCCTTCTGTTTTAATGGAAAAAGATATACTTTTACCAGGACTTTGTCAGGGCCTAAACTCAAGCCCCTCGTTGTTTTGTGAGGCTCTGAACCACAGTCTAGCGTCTCTTGTGTTGACAGACGGGACTGTTTTGATTAATTATGTGGATGATTTGATGATTGCTAGCCCCACAAAAGAACAATGTGAAGAGGACACAATTAAGCTTCTCCAACATTTGGCTGAGGAGGCCACAAAGCTTCTGTTTCAAAGTTGCAATTTGTCAAACAAAATGTTGTGTTTTTGGGTCACATTATAACCCCTGAAGGTAAAACCTTTCACAAAAGGGTGACGGCAATAGTTGATGCTCCGAAGCCCTCAAACAAAAAGGAACTTCTTTCATTTTTGGGAATGTGCTCATATTGCAGGCATTTTAACGCCAATTTCTCTGAGAAAGACAAGCCTTTACGTGATATGACTGTGGGGAGGAACATGTGTGCGTCCTCTCCCCTCGTGTGGACTCCAGAGGCAGAGCAGGCTTTCACAGACTTAAAAAATTGCTTTGCAATCGGCTCCAACTCTGGGAATCCCAGACCCAAATAAGCCTTTTGTTCAGTTTGTGGACGAGAGATGTGGATGCATGACATCAGTACTTTTGCAAAAACATGGAGATCTACTGAAACCTGTTGGTTATTTTTCAAAACTTCTTGGATCCTGTGGCGAGAGGTCTCCCTGCTTGTTAAGAGCCATAGCTGCGTGTGAAACAGCAGTATTGGCATCACGTGACTTTGTTGGATTCTGCCAGCTTTTGTTGTTTGTTCCACATTCTGTTGCTTTGATACTACAGGAGCAGAAATCTTCACATCTTTCTGCATCTCGATGGCTCCGATATCACACAACACTCTTGGATTGCCACATGTGACTGTCCATAAATGTTCTACACTTAATCCTGCCACATTGTTACCCCCTCCCAGGAGAGGGCACACCGCACTCATGCATGGCAGAGCTGAATCAGATCTGTACTCCAAGACCAGATCCTTTCTGATACACCATTGACTAACCCTGATTTAATTCTCTATGTAGATGGATCAGCATATCGAGACCCGGACACCAGGAAGGTCGCATGCTGGATACCTGTGGTGGACGACCATTCAGTCGTTCTTTCTTCCTCTCTACCATCGATGTACTCGGCACAATTGGCAGAGCTGGTGGCGTTGACAGAGGCGTGTGCATACGCAAAGGGACGGTCTGTTACAATATTCACTGACTCCCGCTATGCATTTGGGGTGACGCATGATTTGGGGCACTGTGGAAACATAGAAACTTTCTAAAATCTGACGGAAAACCAATTTTACACCACACACATGTTGCAAGCATTGTTAGAAGCTATCTTGCTCCCATCTCAGATTGCAGTGTGTAAATGTTCTGCCCACACAGGTGCAACGGACTCTGTTTCATTGGGTAACGCTAGGGCGGACAGAGCTGCGAGAGCTGCTGCTAAACAGCTTCTCCCCTCATCAGCTTCCTCTCTCCCTGCCCCATGCTGTCTCTCCAGAGACCCCTCCTCTTTCCCCTCCCGCCTCTCTGAAGGACCTCTGCCTCACTCTCTTCCCTGAAGAGCTCGCGCAACGTGGGCGGAGTCCTGGTGCTGTTTTTCCAAAATGGCGTCTGGGTAGGCCCAGATTTGAAGCCATTCCTTCCCAAAAAGATTAATTAATGTTATGCTTAAGTTAACAATATGTTTCAAGCAGTCCAGTCCAACAATTTTGGTTTACAAAAGGGTTTTCTACATTTGCTGCAGAGTTTTGCAGAAGCTGTTTGATCTGTGCACAGAATAACCCGGGTAAGCCGAGGTCTCTGGCACAAGCAGCTCACCCAGCTCCTACAAGACCGTTTGAACATGTCATGATGGACTTCATTGAATTAACACCCAGTGAAGGGAAAAAATTTTGTCTTGTAATGGTGGATATGTTTTCAAAGTGGGTTGAAGCTTTCCCTGCAAAAACATGCGTCCTCCGCTGCAGTAGCAAAAGCCATCTTAACTGAAATTCTCGTAAAATGGGGAATTCCTCAGAAATTGTCCAGCGATAATGGGTCGCATTTTGTTAATGAAGTGATAAAACAACCAGAGAGAGAGACCAGAGAGAGAGACCAGAGAGAGAGACCAGAGAGAGAGACCAGAGAGAGACCAGAGAGAGACCAGAGAGAGAGACCAGAGAGAGAGACCAGAGAGAGAGACCAGAGAGAGAGACCAGAGAGAGAGACCAGAGAGAGAGACCAGAGAGAGAGACCAGAGAGAGAGACCAGAGAGAGAGACCAGAGAGAGAGACCAGAGAGAGAGACCAGAGAGAGAGACCAGAGAGAGAGACCAGAGAGAGACCAGAGAGAGAGACCAGAGAGAGAGACCAGAGAGAGAGACCAGAGAGAGAGACCAGAGAGAGAGACCAGAGAGAGAGACCAGAGAGAGAGACCAGAGAGAGAGACCAGAGAGAGAGACCAGAGAGAGAGACCAGAGAGAGACCAGACCCAGAGAGAGAGAGACCAGAGAGAGAGACCAGAGAGAGAGACCAGAGAGAGACCAGAGAGAGAGACCAGAGAGAGAGACCAGAGAGAGAGACCAGAGAGAGAGACCAGAGAGAGAGACCAGAGAGAGAGACCAGAGAGAGAGACCAGAGAGAGAGACCAGAGAGAGAGACCAGAGAGAGAGACCAGAGAGAGAGACCAGAGAGAGAGACCAGAGAGAGAGACCAGAGAGAGACCAGAGAGAGACCAGAGAGAGAGACCAGAGAGAGAGACCAGAGAGAGAGACCAGAGAGAGAGACCAGAGAGAGAGACCAGAGAGAGAGACCAGAGAGAGAGACCAGAGAGAGAGACCAGAGAGAGAGACCAGAGAGAGAGACCAGAGAGAGAGACCAGAGAGAGAGACCAGAGAGAGAGACCAGAGAGAGAGACCAGAGAGAGAGACCAGAGAGAGAGACCAGAGAGAGACCAGAGAGAGACCAGAGAGAGACCAGAGAGAGACCAGAGAGAGAGACCAGAGAGAGAGACCAGAGAGAGAGACCAGAGAGAGAGACCAGAGAGAGAGACCAGAGAGAGAGACCAGAGAGAGAGACCAGAGAGAGAGACCAGAGAGAGAGACCAGAGAGAGAGACCAGAGAGAGAGACCAGAGAGAGAGACCAGAGAGAGAGACCAGAGAGAGAGACCAGAGAGAGAGAGACCAGATAGAGAGAGACCAGAGAGAGAGAGACCAGAGAGAGAGAGACCAGAGAGAGAGAGACCAGAGAGAGAGAGACCAGAGAGAGAGAGACCAGAGAGAGAGAGACCAGAGAGAGAGACCAGAGAGAGAGACCAGAGAGAGAGAGACCAGAGAGAGAGAGACCAGAGAGAGAGAGACCAGAGAGAGAGAGACCAGAGAGAGAGAGACCAGAGAGAGAGAGACCAGAGAGAGAGACCAGAGGGAGAGACACCAGAGGGAGAGACACCAGAGGGAGACCAGAGGGAGACCAGAGGGAGACCAGAGGGAGACCAGAGGGAGACCAGAGAGAGACCAGAGGGAGACCTGCAGACCCCTGACTGGTCTCTCTCCTCAGGATCCTGTCCCTCGCCTGCAGTCCCAGTGGATCTTCCTTCGTCTGTTCTGCTGCAGCTGAACACACTCACACCTCAGGACTCCTGCTGGTCTGGGACACTAAGACTGTCAAACAGCAGGTGAGACCAGAGTGAGAGACCAGAGTGAGAGACCAGAGTGAGAGACCAGAGTGAGAGACCAGAGTGAGAGACCAGAGTGAGAGACCAGAGTGAGAGACCAGAGTGAGAGACCAGAGTGAGAGACCAGAGTGAGAGACCAGAGTGAGAGACCAGAGAGAGAGACCAGAGAGAGAGACCAGAGTGAGAGACCAGAGAGAGAGACCAGAGAGAGAGACCAGAGAGAGAGACCAGAGAGAGAGACCAGAGTGAGAGACCAGAGTGAGAGACCAGAGTGAGAGACCAGAGTGAGAGACCAGAGTGAGAGACCAGAGTGAGAGACCAGAGTGAGAGACCAGAGTGAGAGACCAGAGTGAGAGACCAGAGTGAGAGACCAGAGAGAGAGACCAGAGAGAGAGACCAGAGAGAGAGACCAGAGAGAGAGACCAGAGTGAGAGAGAGAGAGCCCAGTTACTCCCTGTACACACCTGTGCAGATGGTCCTTGGTTCTAGATCATCTTCACACTTTGTCCCCATACATCTGACACAGTCTGTGTGTGTGTCTCTGTGTGTGTGTGTGTGTTACAGTTGTGTCTCTCTCTGGAGCCGGACCCTGTGGCCATAAACTGTTCGTCCTTTAACCATAACGGGAACCTGCTGGTGACGGGAGCCGCTGATGGTGTCATCCGCCTCTTTGGTAACTGTTTGTGTGAACCAGAACCAGAACCAGACCTAAGCTAGAATCTAAAATATATTTATTGCCGTTGTAAGAAACTGGAAGTCACAGACGGGAAGTCACAGACGGGAAGTCACAGACGGGAAGTCGGTGTCACTCCCGTATTCGTCCCGGAAGTTCAGTTTGCGCATGTCAAAAAGTTTAATATGTCCTTAAGTGGTGACTGGTTAAGTTTAGGGTTAAGGTGGTCTGAGTAAGATGGTTAAGGTTAGGGTTAAGGTGGTCTGAGTAAGATGGTTAAGGTCAGGGTTAAGGTGGTCTGAGTAAGATGGTTAAGGTTAGGGTTAAGGTGGTCTGAGTAAGATGGTTAAGGTTAGGGTTAAGGTGGGTCTGAGTAAGATGGTTAAGGTCAGGGTTAAGGTGGTCTGAGTAAGATGGTTAAGGTTAGGGTTAAGGTGGTCTGAGTAAGATGGTTAAGGTTAGGGTTAAGGTGGTCTGAGTAAGATGGTTAAGGTTAGGGTTAAGGTGGTCTGAGTAAGATGGTTAAGGTTAGGGTTAAGGTGGTCTGAGTAAGATGGTTAAGGTTAGGGTTAAGGTGGGTCTGAGTAAGATGGTTAAGGTTAGGGTTAAGGTGGTCTGAGTAAGATGGTTAAGGTTAGGGTTAAGGTGGTCTGAGTAAGATGGTTAAGGTTAGGGTTAAGGTGGTCTGAGTAAGATGGTTAAGGTTAGGGTTAAGGTGGTCTGAGTAAGATGGTTAAGGTTAGGGTTAAGGTGGTCTGAGTAAGATGGTTAAGGTTAGGGTTAAGGTGGTCTGAGTAAGATGGTTAAGGTTAAGGTTAAGGTGGTCTGAGTAAGATGGTTAAGGTTAGGGTTAAGGTGGTCTGAGTAAGATGGTTAAGGTTAGGGTTAAGGTGGGTCTGAGTAAGATGGTTAAGGTTAGGGTTAAGGTGGTCTGAGTAAGATGGTTAAGGTTAGGGTTAAGGTGGTCTGAGTAAGATGGTTAAGGTTAGGGTTAAGGTGGGTCTGAGTAAGATGGTTAAGGTTAGGGTTAAGGTGGTCAGAGTAAGATGGTTAAGGTTAGGGTTAAGGTGGGTCTGAGTAAGATGGTTAAGGTTAGGGTTAAGGTGGTCTGAGTAAGATGGTTAAGGTTAGGGTTAAGGTGGTCTGAGTAAGATGGTTAAGGTTAGGGTTAAGGTGGTCTGAGTAAGATGGTTGAGGTTAGGGTTAAGGTGGTCTGAGTAAGATGGTTAAGGTTAGGGTTAAGGTGGTCTGAGTAAGATGGTTAAGGTTAGGGTTAAGGTGGTCTGAGTAAGATGGTTAAGGTTAAGGTTAAGGTGGTCTGAGTAAGATGGTTAAGGTTAGGGTTAAGGTGGTCTGAGTAAGATGGTTAAGGTTAGGGTTAAGGTGGGTCTGAGTAAGATGGTTAAGGTTAGGTTTAAGGTGGTCTGAGTAAGATGGTTAAGGTTAGGGTTAAGGTGGGTCTGAGTAAGATGGTTAAGGTTAGGGTTAAGGTGGTCTGAGTAAGATGGTTAAGGTTAGGGTTAAGGTGGTCTGAGTAAGATGGTTAAGGTTAGGGTTAAGGTGGTCTGAGTAAGATGGTTAAGGTTAGGGTTAAGGTGGTCTGAGTAAGATGGTTAAGGTTAGGGTTAAGGTGGTCTGAGTAAGATGGTTAAGGTTAGGGTTAAGGTGGTCTGAGTAAGATGGTTACAGTTAGGGTTAAGGTGGTCTGAGTAAGATGGTTAAGGTTAGGGTTAAGGTGGTCTGAGTAAGATGGTTAAGGTTAGGGTTAAGGTGGTCTGAGTAAGATGGTTAAGGTTAGGGTTAAGGTGGTCTGAGTAAGATGGTTAAGGTTAGGGTTAAGGTGGTCTGAGTAAGATGGTTAAGGTTAGGGTTAAGGTGGTCTGAGTAAGATGGTTAAGGTTAGGGTTAAGGTGGTCTGAGTAAGATGGTTAAGGTTAGGGTTAAGGTGGTCTGAGTAAGATGGTTAAGGTTAGGGTTAAGGTGGGTCTGAGTAAGATGGTTAAGGTTAGGGTTAAGGTGGTCTGAGTAAGATGGTTAAGGTTAGGGTTAAGGTGGGTCTGAGTAAGATGGTTAAGGTTAGGGTTAAGGTGGTCTGAGTAAGATGGTTAAGTTTAGGGTAAAGGTGGGTCTGAGTAAGATGGTTAAGGTTAGGGTTAAGGTGGTCTGAGTAAGATGGTTAAGGTTAGGGTTAAGGTGGGTCTGAGTAAGATGGTTAAGGTTAGGGTTAAGGTGGTCTGAGTAAGATGGTTAAGGTTAGGGTTAAGGTGGTCTGAGTAAGATGGTTATGGTTAGGGTTAAGGTGGTCTGAGTAAGATGGTTAAGGTTAGGGTTAAGGCGGTCTGAGTAAGATGGTTAAGGTGGTCTGAGTAAGATGGTTAAGGTTAGGGTTAAGGTGGTCTGAGTAAGATGGTTAAGGTTAGGGTTAAGGTGGTCTGAGTAAGATGGTTAGGGTTAAGGTGGTCTGAGTAAGATGGTTAAGGTTAGGGTTAAGGTGGTCTGAGTAAGATGGTTATGGTTAGGGTTAAGGTGGTCTGAGTAAGATGGTTAAGGTTAGGGTTAAGGTGGTCTGAGTAAGATGGTTAAGGTTAGGGTTAAGGTGGTCTGAGTAAGATGGTTAAGGTTAGGGTTAAGGTGGTCTGAGTAAGATGGTTAAGGTTAGGGTTAAGGTGGTCTGAGTAAGATGGTTAAGGTTAGGGTTAAGGTGGTCTGAGTAAGATGGTTAAGGTTAGGGTTAAGGTGGTCTGAGTAAGATGGTTAAGGTTAGGGTTAAGGTGGTCTGAGTAAGATGGTTAAGGTTAGTGTTAAGGCGGTCTGAGTAAGATGGTTAAGGTTAGGGTTAAGGTGGGTCTGAGTAAGATGGTTAAGGTTAGGGTTAAGGTGGGTCTGAGTAAGATGGTTAAGGTTAGGGTTAAGGTGGTCTGAGTAAGATGGTTAAGGTTAGGGTTAAGGTGGTCTGAGTAAGATGGTTAAGGTTAGGGTTAAGGTGGTCTGAGTAAGATGGTTAAGGTTAAGGTTAAGGTGGTCTGAGTAAGATGGTTAAGGTTAGAGTTAAGGTGGTCTGAGTAAGATGGTTAAGGTTAGGGTTAAGGTGGTCTGAGTAAGATGGTTAAGGTTAGGGTTAAGGTGGTCTGAGTAAGATGGTTAAGGTTAGGGTTAAGGTGGTCTGAGTAAGATGGTTATGGTTAGGGTTAAGGTGGTCTGAGTAAGATGGTTAAGGTTAGGGTTAAGGTGGTCTGAGTAAGATGGTTAAGGTTAGTGTTAAGGCGGTCTGAGTAAGATGGTTAAGGTTAGGGTTAAGGTGGGTCTGAGTAAGATGGTTAAGGTTAGGGTTAAGGTGGTCTGAGTAAGATGGTTAAGGTTAGGGTTAAGGTGGATCTGAGTAAGATGGTTAAGGTTAGGGTTAAGGTGGGTCTGAGTAAGATGGTTAAGGTTAGGGTTAAGGTGGGTCTGAGTAAGATGGTTAAGGTTAGGGTTAAGGTGGTCTGAGTAAGATGGTTAAGGTTAGGGTTAAGGTGGTCTGAGTAAGATGGTTAAGGTTAGGGTTAAGGTGGTCTGAGTAAGATGGTTAAGGTTAGGGTTAAGGTGGTCTGAGTAAGATGGTTAAGGTTAGGGTTAAGGTGGTCTGAGTAAGATGGTTAAGGTTAGGGTTAAGGTGGGTCTGAGTAAGATGGTTAAGGTTAGGGTTAAGGTGGTCTGAGTAAGATGGTTAAGGTTAGGGTTAAGGTGGTCTGAGTAAGATGGTTAAGGTTAGGGTTAAGGTGGTCTGAGTAAGATGGTTAAGGTTAGGGTTAAGGTGGTCTGAGTAAGATGGTTAAGGTTAGGGTTAAGGTGGTCTGAGTAAGATGGTTAAGGTTAGGGTTAAGGTGGTCTGAGTAAGATGGTTAAGGTTAGGGTTAAGGTGGTCTGAGTAAGATGGTTAAGGTTTGGGTTAAGGTGGGTCTGAGTAAGATGGTTAAGGTTAGGGTTAAGGTGGTCTGAGTAAGATGGTTAAGGTTAGGGTTAAGGTGGTCTGAGTAAGATGGTTAAGGTTAGGGTTAAGGTGGTCTGAGTAAGATGGTTAAGGTTAGGGTTAAGGTGGTCTGAGTAAGATGGTTAAGGTTAGGGTTAAGGTGGTCTGAGTAAGATGGTTAAGGTTAGGGTTAAGGTGGTCTGAGTAAGATGGTTAAGGTTAGGGTTAAGGTGGTCTGAGTAAGATGGTTAAGGTTAGGGTTAAGGTGGGTCTGAGTAAGATGGTTAAGGTTAGGGTTAAGGTGGTCTGAGTAAGACGGTTAAGGTTAGGGTTAAGGTGGTCTGAGTAAGATGGTTAAGGTTAGGGTTAAGGTGGTCTGAGTAAGATGGTTAAGGTTAGGGTTAAGGTGGTCTGAGTAAGATGGTTAAGGTTAGGGTTAAGGTGGGTCTGAGTAAGATGGTTAAGGTTAGGGTTAAGGTGGTCTGAGTAAGATGGTTAAGGTTAGGGTTAAGGTGGGTCTGAGTAAGATGGTTAAGGTTAGGGTTAAGGTGGGTCTGAGTAAGATGGTTAAGGTTAGGGTTAAGGTGGTCTGAGTAAGATGGTTAAGGTTAGGGTTAAGGTGGGTCTGAGTAAGATGGTTAAGTTTAGGGTTAAGGTGGTCTGAGTAAGATGGTTAAGGTTAGGGTTAAGGTGGTCTGAGTAAGATGGTTAAGGTTAGGGTTAAGGTGGTCTGAGTAAGATGGTTAAGGTTAGGGTTAAGGTGGTCTGAGTAAGATGGTTAAGGTTAGGGTTAAGGTGGTCTGAGTAAGATGGTTAAGGTTAGGGTTAAGGTGGTCTGAGTAAGATGGTTAAGGTTAGGGTTAAGGTGGTCTGAGTAAGATGGTTAAGGTTAGGGTTAAGGTGGTCTGAGTAAGATGGTTAAGGTTAGGGTTAAGGTGGTCTGAGTAAGATGGTTAAGGTTAGAGTTAAGGTGGTCTGAGTAAGGGAATACGGGAGTGACAGTCACAGACAGGAAGTCACAGACAGGAAGTCACAGACAGGAAGTCACAGACAGGAAGTCACAGACAGGAAGTCACCCTAACCCTCTGCTCCTCCTACAGGGGGTGGCTCCTTCAACACAGATACGGCCTATAGTAATAGTAATAATGATAATAATAATGATAATGATGATGATATTGTTCACACTAAGTTAGTCCTGCTTTAGACCTGGTTTAAACAATTGCGTGTGTTTGTGTGTGTGTGTGTGTGTGTGTGTGTGTCTCTCTGTGGGTGTGTGTATCTGTGTGTCTGTGTGTGTGTATCTGTGTGTCTGTTTCTGTGTGTATCTGTGTGTGTGTGTGTGTGTCTCTGTGGGTGTGTGTGTGTGTGTGTGTGTCAATGTGGGTGTGTGTGTGTGTATCTGTGGGTGTGTGTGTGTGTGTGTCACTGTGGTGTGTGTGTGTGTCTGTGTGTGTGTGTGTAGACATGCAGAGGTGTGACTGTCCCATGAGTTGGAAAGCCCACGATGGAGAAGTTTACAGTGTGGAGTTCAGCTACGACGAGAACACGGTCTTCAGCATCGGAGAAGACGGGAAGGTACGGGGTCAGGGGCGGGGGCAGGGGTCAGGGGGCGGGGTCAGGGGCGTGGGCAGGGGTCAGGGGGCGGGGTCAGGGGCGTGGGGGGGCGGGGTCGGGGGTGGGGTCAAGGTTGTGGGGGGGGGGGGGGTCAGGGGGCGGGGCAAGGCGGGAGGTGCGGTCAGGGTCGAGGTCAATGGGGACAGATTATTATGAACGACGTTCTGTGTTTTTCTGTGGTGCTCTGTGGTTCTCTAGTTCTCTTTGGTTCTCTTTGGTTCTCTTTGGTTCTCTGTGGTGCTCTGTGGTTCTCTAGTTCTCTTTGGTTCTCTTTGGTTCTCTTTGGTTCTCTGTGGTGCTCTGTGGTTCTCTAGTTCTCTTTGGTTCTCTTTGGTTCTCTTTGGTTCTCTGTGGTGCTCTGTGGTTCTCTAGTTCTCTTTGGTTCTCTTTGGTTCTCTTTGGTTCTCTGTGGTGCTCTGTGGTTCTCTAGTTCTCTTTGGTTCTCTTTGGTTCTCTGTGGTGCTCTGTGGTTCTCTAGTTCTCTTTGGTTCTCTGTGGTGCTCTGTGGTGCTCTGTGGTTCTCTCTGGTGCTCTGTGGTTCTCTGTGGTTCTCTCTGGTGCTCTGTGGTTCTCTGTGGTTCTATAGTTCTCTTTGGTTCTCTGTGGTTCTCTAGTTCTCTTTGGTTCACTGTGGTGCTCTGTGGTTCTCTAGTTCTCTTTGGTTCACTGTGGTTCTCTAGTTCTCTTTGGTTCACTGTGGTGCTCTGTGGTTCTCTGTGGTTCTCTAGTTCTCTTTGGTTCACTGTGGTGCTCTGTGGTTCTCTAGTTCTCCGTGGTTCTCTGTGGTGCTCTGTGGTTCTCTAGTTCTCTTTGGTTCTCTTTGGTTCTCTTTGGTTCTCTGTGGTGCTCTGTGGTTCTCTAGTTCTCTTTGGTTCTCTTTGGTTCTCTTTGGTTCTCTGTGGTGCTCTGTGGTTCTCTAGTTCTCTTTGGTTCTCTGTGGTGCTCTGTGGTTCTCTCTGGTGCTCTGTGGTTCTCTGTGGTTCTCTCTGGTGCTCTGTGGTTCTCTGTGGTTCTATAGTTCTCTTTGGTTCTCTGTGGTTCTCTAGTTCTCTTTGGTTCACTGTGGTGCTCTGTGGTTCTCTGTGGTTCTCTAGTTCTCTTTGGTTCACTGTGGTTCTCTAGTTCTCTTTGGTTCACTGTGGTGCTCTGTGGTTCTCTGTGGTTCTCTAGTTCTCTTTGGTTCACTGTGGTGCTCTGTGGTTCTCTAGTTCTCCGTGGTTCTCTGTGGTGCTCTGTGGTTCTCTAGTTCTCTGTGGTTCTCTCTGGTGCTCTGTGGTTCTCTGTGGTGCTCTGTGGTTCTCTGTGGTTCTCTGTGGTTCTCTAGTTCTCTCTGGTGCTCCATGGTTCTCTAGTTCTCTGTGGTTCTCTGTGGTTCTCTCTGGTGCTCCATGGTTCTCTAGTTCTCTGTGGTGCTCTGTGGTTCTCTGTGGTTCTCTGTGGTTCTCTGTGGTGCTCTGTGGTTCTCTGTGGTTCTCTAGTTCTCTGTGGTGCTCTTTGGTTCTCTGTGGTTCTCTGTGGTTCTCTGTGGTTCTGTGTGGTTCTCTAGTTCTCTGTGGTGCTCTTTGGTTCTCTGTGGTTCTGTGTGGTGCTCCATGGTTCTCTGTGGTTCTCTGTGGTTCTCTGTGGTTCTCTGTGTGATTGACATGTGTGCAGTTCATCCAGTGGAACATCCATCGCTGCGGCGTGCGGCAGTCGGAGCAGATCCTGCAGCAGGAGGCGACCGGGCCCTTCGTCCTGTCGGGCTTCAGCGGCTACAAGCAGGTACCAGGCCCCAAACAGGTACCAGGCCCCAAACAGGTACCAGGCCCCAAACAGGTACCAGGCCCCAAACAGGTACCAGGCCCCAAACAGGTACCAGGCCCCAAACAGGTACCAGACCCCAAACAGGTACCAGACCCCAAACAGGTACCAGACCCTCAGGTACCAGGCCCTCAGGTACCAGGCCCTCAGGTACCAGGCCCTCAGGTACCAGGCCCTCAGGTACCAGGCCCCAAACAGGTACCAGACCCTCAGGTACCAGGCCCCAAACAGGTACCAGACCCCAAACAGGTACCAGGCCCCAAACAGGTACCAGGCCCCAAACAGGTACCAGGCCCCAAACAGGTACCAGGCCCCAAACAGGTACCAGGCCCTCAGGTACCAGGCCCTCAGGTACCAGGCCCTCAGGTACCAGACCCTCAGGTACCAGGCCCTCAGGTACCAGACCCTCAGGTACCAGGCCCTCAGGTACCAGGCCCTCAGGCAGGTACCAGGCCCTAAAACGGGTACCAGGCCCTAAAACGGGTACCAGGCCCTCAAACAGGTACCAGGCCCTCAAACAGGTACCAGGCCCTCAAACAGGTACCAGGCTTTCAGGTACCAGGTCCTCAAGTACCCGGCCCTCAAACAGGTACCAGGCCCCAAACAGGTACCAGACCCCAAACAGGTACCAGACCCTCAGGTACCAGACCCTCAGGTACCAGGCCCTCAGGTACCAGGCCCTCAGGTACCAGGCCCTCAGGTACCAGGCCCCAAACAGGTACCAGGCCCCAAACAGGTACCAGGCCCCAAACAGGTACCAGACCCCAAACAGGTACCAGGCCCCAAACAGGTACCAGACCCTCAGGTACCAGGCCCCAAACAGGTACCAGACCCCAAACAGGTACCAGGCCCCAAAAAGGTACCAGACCCTCAGGTACCAGGCCCCAAACAGGTACCAGACCCCAAACAGGTACCAGACCCCAAACAGGTACCAGACCCCAAACAGGTACCAGGCCCTCAGGTACCAGGCCCTCAGGTACCAGGCCCCAAACAGGTACCAGGCCCCAAACAGGTACCAGGCCCCAAACAGGTACCAGGCCCCAAACAGGTACCAGGCCCTCAGGTACCAGGCCCTCAGGTACCAGGCCCTCAGGTACCAGGCCCTCAGGTACCAGGCCCTCAGGTACCAGGCCCTCAGGTACCAGGCCCTCAGGTACCAGGCCCTCAGGTACCAGACCCTCAGGTACCAGGCCCTCAGGTACCAGACCCTCAGGTACCAGGCCCTCAGACAGGTACCAGGCCCTCTAACAGGTACCAGGCCCTCAGGCAGGTACCAGGCCCTAAAACGGGTACCAGGCCCTAAAACGGGTACCAGGCCCTCAAACAGGTACCAGGCCCTCAAACAGGTACCAGGCCCTCAAATGGGTAGCAGGCCCTCAAACAGGTACCAGGCTTTCAGGTACCAGGTCCTCAAGTACCCGGCCCTCAAACAGGTACCAGGCCCTCAAACAGGTACCCCCCCCCCCCCCACTGCCCCCAGCATAAGGGTTGTGGTTCATGTGACTCTTTCATAGACGTTACACAGGTCTTTTTCAAACACTACCATCCAGAGAGAGAGACCAGAGTGTAGTGACTCTGGTGTGTGTAGTGACTCTGGTGTGTGTAGTGACTCTGGTGTGTGTAGTGACTCTGGTGTGTGTAGTGACTCTGGTGTGTGTAGTGACTCTGGTGTGTGTAGTGACTCTGGTGTGTGTAGTGACTCTGGTGTGTGTAGTGACTCTGGTGTGTGTAGTGACTCTGGTGTGTGTAGTGACTCTGGTGTGTGTAGTGACTCTGGTGTGTGTAGTGACTCTGGTGTGTAGTGACTCTGGTGTGTGTAGTGACTCTGGTGTGTGTGGTGACTCTGGTGTGTGTAGTGACTCTGGTGTGTGTAGTGACTCTGGTGTGTGTAGTGACTCTGGTGTGTGTAGTGACTCTGGTGTGTGTAGTGACTCTGGTGTGTGTAGTGACTCTGGTGTGTGTAGTGACTCTGGTGTGTGTAGTGACTCTGGTGTGTGTAGTGACTCTGGTGTGTAGTGACTCTGGTGTGTGTAGTGACTCTGGTGTGTGTAGTGACTCTGGTGTGTGTAGTGACTCTGGTGTGTGTAGTGACTCTGGTGTGTGTAGTGACTCTGGTGTGTGTAGTGACTCTGGTGTGTGTAGTGACTCTGGTGTGTGTAGTGACTCTGGTGTGTGTAGTGACTCTGGTGTGTGTAGTGACTCTGGTGTGTGTAGTGACTCTGGTGTGTGTAGTGACTCTGGTGTGTGTAGTGACTCTGGTGTGTGTAGTGACTCTGTGTGTGTGTAGTGACTCTGGTGTGTGTAGTGACTCTGTGTGTGTAGTGACTCTGGTGTGTGTAGTGACTCTGGTGTGTGTAGTGACTCTGGTGTGTGTAGTGACTCTGGTGTGTGTAGTGACTCTGGTGTGTGTAGTGACTCTGGTGTGTGTAGTGACTCTGGTGTGTGTAGTGACTCTGGTGTGTGTAGTGACTCTGGTGTGTGTAGTGACTCTGGTGTGTGTAGTGACTCTGGTGTGTGTAGTGACTCTGGTGTGTGTAGTGACTCTGGGTGTGTAGTGACTCTGGTGTGTGTAGTGACTCTGGTGTGTGTAGTGACTCTGGTGTGTGTAGTGACTCTGGTGTGTGTAGTGACTCTGGTGTGTGTAGTGACTCTGTGGTGTGTAGTGACTCTGTGTGTGTAGTGACTCTGGTGTGTGTAGTGACTCTGGTGTGTGTAGTGACTCTGGTGTGTGTAGTGACTCTGGTGTGTGTAGTGACTCTGGTGTGTGTGACTCTGGTGTGTGTAGTGACTCTGGTGTGTGTAGTGACTCTGGTGTGTGTAGTGACTCTGGTGTGTGTAGTGACTCTGGTGTGTGTAGTGACTCTGGTGTGTGTAGTGACTCTGGTGTGTGTAGTGACTCTGGTGGTGTGTGTAGTGACTCTGGTGTGTGTAGTGACTCTGGTGTGTGTAGTGACTCTGGTGTGTGTAGTGACTCTGGTGTGTGTAGTGACTGTGGTGTGTGTAGTGACTCTGGTGTGTGTAGTGACTCTGGTGTGTGTAGTGACTCTGGTGTGTGTAGTGACTCTGGTGTGTGTAGTGACTCTGGTGTGTGTAGTGACTCTGGTGTGTGTAGTGACTCTGGTGTGTGTAGTGACTCTGGTGTGTGTAGTGACTCTGGTGTGTGTAGTGACTCTGGTGTGTGTAGTGACTCTGGTGTGTGTAGTGACTCTGGTGTGTGTAGTGACTCTGGTGTGTGTAGTGACTCTGGTGTGTGTAGTGACTCTGGTGTGTGTAGTGACTCTGGTGTGTGTAGTGACTCTGGTGTGTGTAGTGACTGTGGTGTGTGTAGTGACTCTGGTGTGTGTAGTGACTCTGGTGTGTGTAGTGACTCTGGTGTGTGTAGTGACTCTGGTGTGTGTAGTGACTCTGGTGTGTGTAGTGACTCTGGTGTGTGTAGTGACTCTGGTGTGTGTAGTGACTCTGGTGTGTGTAGTGACTCTGGTGTGTGTAGTGACTCTGGTGGTGTAGTGACTCTGGTGTGTAGTGACTCTGGTGTGTGTAGTGACTCTGGTGTGTGTAGTGACTCTGGTGTGTGTAGTGACTCTGGTGTGTGTAGTGACTCTGTGTGTGTAGTGACTCTGGTGTGTGTAGTGACTCTGGTGTGTGTAGTGACTCTGGTGTGTGTAGTGACTCTGGTGTGTGTAGTGACTCTGGTGTGTGTAGTGACTCTGGTGTGTGTAGTGGACTCTGGTGTGTGTGACTCTGGTGTGTGTAGTGACTCTGGTGTGTGTAGTGACTCTGGTGTGTGTAGTGACTCTGGTGTGTGTAGTGACTCTGGTGTGTGTAGTGACTCTGGTGTGTGTAGTGACTCTGGTGTGTGTAGTGACTCTGGTGTGTGTAGTGACTCTGGTGTGTGTAGTGACTCTGGTGTGTGTAGTGACTCTGGTGTGTGTAGTGACTCTGGTGTGTGTAGTGACTCTGGTGTGTGTAGTGACTCTGGTGTGTGTAGTGACTCTGGTGTGTGTAGTGACTCTGGTGTGTGTAGTGACTCTGGTGTGTGTAGTGACTCTGGTGTGTGTAGTGACTCTGGTGTGTGTAGTGACTCTGGTGTGTGTAGTGACTCTGGTGTGTGTAGTGACTCTGGTGTGTGTAGTGACTCTGGTGTGTGTAGTGACTCTGGTGTGTGTAGTGACTCTGGTGTGTGTAGTGACTCTGGTGTGTGTAGTGACTCTGGTGTGTGTAGTGACTCTGGTGTGTGTAGTGACTCTGGTGTGTGTAGTGACTCTGGTGTGTGTAGTGACTCTGGTGTGTGTAGTGACTCTGGTGTGTAGTGACTCTGGTGTGTGTAGTGACTCTGGTGTGTGTAGTGACTCTGGTGTGTGTAGTGACTCTGGTGTGTGTAGTGACTCTGGTGTGTGTAGTGACTCTGGTGTGTGTAGTGACTCTGGTGTGTGTAGTGACTCTGGTGTGTAGTGACTCTGGTGTGTGTAGTGACTCTGGTGTGTGTAGTGACTCTGGTGTGTGTAGTGACTCTGGTGTGTGTAGTGACTCTGGTGTGTGTAGTGACTCTGGGTGTGTGTAGTGACTCTGGTGTGTGTAGTGACTCTGGTGTGTGTAGTGACTCTAGTGACTCTGTGTGTAGTGACTCTGGTGTGTGTAGTGACTCTGGTGTGTGTAGTGACTCTGGTGTGTGTAGTGACTCTGGTGTGTGTAGTGACTCTGGTGTGTAGTGACTCTGGTGTGTGTAGTGACTCTGGTGTGTGTAGTGACTCTGGTGTGTGGTGACTCTGGTGTGTGTAGTGACTCTGGTGTGTGTAGTGACTCTGGTGTGTGTAGTGACTCTGGTGTGTGTAGTGACTCTGGTGTGTGTAGTGACTCTGGTGTGTGTAGTGACTCTGGTGTGTGTAGTGACTCTGGTGTGTGTAGTGACTCTGGTGTGTGTAGTGACTCTGGTGTGTGTAGTGACTCTGGTGTGTGTAGTGACTCTGGTGTGTGTAGTGACTCTGTGTGTGTAGTGACTCTGGTGTGTGTAGTGACTCTGGTGTGTGTAGTGACTCTGGTGTGTGTAGTGACTCTGGTGTGTGTAGTGACTCTGGTGTGTGTAGTGACTCTGGTGTGTGTAGTGACTCTGGTGTGTGTAGTGACTCTGGTGTGTGTAGTGACTCTGGTGTGTGTAGTGACTCTGGTGTGTGTAGTGACTCTGGTGTGTGTAGTGACTCTGGTGTGTGTAGTGACTCTGGTGTGTGTGTGACTCTGGTGTGTGTGTGACTCTGGTGTGGTGTGTGACTCTGGTGTGTGTAGTGACTCTGGTGTGTGTAGTGACTCTGGTGTGTAGTGACTCGGTGTGTAGTGACTCTCGTGTGTGTGGACTCTGGTGTGTGTAGTGACTCTGGTGTGTGTAGTGACTCTGGTGTGTGTAGTGACTCTGGGTGTGTAGTGACTCTGGTGTGTGTAGTGACTCTGGTGTGTGTAGTGACTCTGGTGTGTGTAGTGACTCTGGTGTGTGTAGTGACTCTGGTGTGTGTAGTGACTCTGGTGTGTGTAGTGACTCTGGTGTGTGTAGTGACTCTGGTGTGTGTAGTGACTCTGGTGTGTGTAGTGACTCTGGTGTGTGTAGTGACTCTGGTGTGTGTAGTGACTCTGGTGTGTGTAGTGACTCTGGTGTGTGTAGTGACTCTGGTGTGTGTGTGATGGTGACTCTGGTGTGTGTGCTGTGTGTGACTCTGGTGTGTGTAGTGACTCTGGTGTGTGTAGTGACTCTGGTGTGTGTAGTGACTCTGGTGTGTGTGTAGTGACTCTGGTGTGTAGTGACTCTGGTGTGTGTAGTGACTCTGGTGTGTGTGTGACTCTGGTGTGTGTAGTGACTCTGGTGTGTGTAGTGACTCTGGTGTGTGTAGTGACTCTGGTGTGTGTAGTGACTCTGGTGTGTGTAGTGACTCTGGTGTGTGTAGTGACTCTGGTGTGTGTAGTGACTCTGGTGTGTGTAGTGACTCTGGTGTGTGTAGTGACTCTGGTGTGTGTAGTGACTCTGGTGTGTGTAGTGACTCTGGTGTGTGTAGTGACTCTGGTGTGTGTAGTGACTCTGGTGTGTGTAGTGACTCTGGTGTGTGTAGTGACTCTGGTGTGTGTAGTGACTCTGGTGTGTAGTGACTCTGGTGTGTGTAGTGACTCTGGTGTGTGTAGTGACTCTGGTGTGTGTAGTGACTCTGGTGTGTGTAGTGACTCTGGTGTGTGTAGTGACTCGGTGTGTGTGACTCTGGTGTGTGTAGTGACTCTGGTGTGTGGTGTGTAGTGACTCTGGTGTGTGTAGTGACTCTGGTGTGTGTGGTGACTCTGGTGTGTGTAGTGACTCTGGGTGTGTGGTGACTCTGGTGTGTGTAGTGACTCTGGTGTGTGGTGACTCTGGTGTGTAGTGACTCTGGTGTGTAGTGACTCTGGTGTGTGTGTGACTCTGGTGTGTGTAGTGACTCTGGTGTGTGTAGTGACTCTGGTGTGTGTAGTGACTCTGGTGTGTGTAGTGACTCTGGTGTGTGTAGTGACTCTGGTGTGTGTAGTGACTCTGTGGTGTGTAGTGACTCTGGTGTGTGTAGTGACTCTGGGTGTGTAGTGACTCTGGTGTGTGGTGACTCTGGTGTGTGTAGTGACTCTGGTGTGTGTAGTGACTCTGGTGTGTAGTGACTCTGGTGTGTAGTGACTCTGGTGTGTGTAGTGACTCTGGTGTGTGTAGTGACTCTGGTGTGTAGTGACTCTGGTGTGTAGTGACTCTGGTGTGTGTAGTGACTCTGGTGTGTGTAGTGACTCTGGTGTGTGTAGTGACTCTGGTGTGTGTAGTGACTCTGGTGTGTGTAGTGACTCTGGTGTGTGTAGTGACTCTGGTGTGTGTAGTGACTCTGGTGTGTGTAGTGACTCTGGTGTGTGTAGTGACTCTGGTGTGTGTAGTGACTCTGGTGTGTGTAGTGACTCTGGTGTGTGTAGTGACTCTGGTGTGTGTAGTGACTCTGTGTGTGTAGTGACTCTGGTGTGTGTAGTGACTCTGGTGTGTGTAGTGACTCTGGTGTGTAGTGACTCTGTGTGTGTAGTGACTCTGGTGTGTGTAGTGACTCTGGTGTGTGTAGTGACTCTGGTGTGTGTAGTGACTCTGGTGTGTGTAGTGACTCTGGTGTGTGTAGTGACTCTGGTGTGTGTAGTGACTCTGTGTGTGTGTAGTGACTCTGGTGTGTGTAGTGACTCTGGTGTGTGTAGTGACTCTGTGTGTAGTGACTCTGGTGTGTAGTGACTCTGGTGTGTGTAGTGACTCTGGTGTGTGTAGTGACTCTGGTGTGTAGTGACTCTGGTGTGTGTAGTGACTCTGGTGTGTGTAGTGACTCTGGTGGTGTGTAGTGACTCTGGTGTGTGTAGTGACTCTGGTGTGTGTAGTGACTCTGGTGTGTGTGGTGACTCTGGTGTGTAGTGACTCTGGTGTGTGTAGTGACTCTGGTGTGTGTAGTGACTCTGGTGTGTGTAGTGACTCTGGTGTGTAGTGACTCTGGTGTGTGTAGTGACTCTGGTGTGTAGTGACTCTGGTGTGTAGTGACTCTGGTGTGTGTGTGACTCTGGTGTGTAGTGACTCTGGTGTGTGTAGTGACTCTGGTGTGTGTAGTGACTCTGGGTGGTGACTGTGTGTGTAGTGACTCTGGTGTGTGTGTAGTGACTCTGGTGTGTGTAGTGACTCTGGTGTGTGACTCTGGTGTGTAGTGACTCTGGTGTGTGTGTGGTGTGGACTCTGGTGTGTAGTGACTCTGGTGTGTGTAGTGACTCTGGTGTGTGTAGTGACTCTGGTGTGTAGTGACTCTGGTGTGTGTAGTGACTCTGGTGTGTGTAGTGACTCTGGTGTGTGTAGTGACTCTGGTGTGTGTGTGACTCGGTGTGACTCTGGTGTGTGTAGTGACTCTGGTGTGTGTAGTGACTCTGGTGTGTGTAGTGACTCTGGTGTGTGTAGTGACTCTGGTGTGTGTAGTGACTCTGGTGTGTGTAGTGACTCTGGTGTGTGTAGTGACTCTGGTGTGTGTAGTGACTCTGGTGTGTAGTGACTCTGGTGTGTGTAGTGACTCTGGTGTGTGTAGTGACTCTGTGTGTGTAGTGACTCTGGTGTGTGTAGTGACTCTGGTGTGTGTAGTGACTCTGGTGTGTGTAGTGACTCTGGTGTGTGTAGTGACTCTGGTGTGTGTAGTGACTCTGTGTGTGTAGTGACTCTGGTGTGTGTAGTGACTCTGGTGTGTGTAGTGACTCTGGTGTGTGTAGTGACTCTGGTGTGTAGTGACTCTGGTGTGTGTAGTGACTCTGGTGGTGTGTAGTGACTCTGGTGTGTAGTGACTCTGGTGTGTGTAGTGACTCTGGTGTGTGTAGTGACTCTGGTGTGTGTAGTGACTCTGGTGTGTAGTGACTCTGGTGTGTGTAGTGACTCTGGTGTGTGTAGTGACTCTGGTGTGTGTAGTGACTCTGGGTGTGTAGTGACTCTGGTGTGTGTAGTGACTCTGGTGTGTGTAGTGACTCTGGTGTGTGTAGTGACTCTGGTGTGTGTAGTGACTCTGGTGTGTGTAGTGACTCTGGTGTGTGTAGTGACTCTGGTGTGTGTAGTGACTCTGGTGTGTGTAGTGACTCTGGTGTGTGTAGTGACTCTGGTGTGACTCTGTGTGTGACTCTGGTGTGTGTAGTGACTCTGGTGTGTGTAGTGACTCTGGTGTGTGTAGTGACTCTGGTGTGTGTAGTGACTCTGGTGTGTGTAGTGACTCTGGTGTGTGTAGTGACTCTGGTGTGTGTAGTGACTCTGTGTGTGTAGTGACTCTGGTGTGTGTAGTGACTCTGGTGTGTGTAGTGACTCTGGTGTGTGTAGTGACTCTGGTGTGTGTGGTGACTCTGGTGTGTAGTGACTCTGGTGTGTAGTGACTCTGGTGTGTGTAGTGACTCTGGTGTGTGTAGTGACTCTGGTGTGTGTAGTGACTCTGGTGTGTGTGGTGACTCTGGTGTGTGTGTAGTGACTCTGGTGTGTAGTGACTCTGGTGTGTGTAGTGACTCTGGTGTGTGTAGTGACTCTGGTGTGAGTGACTCTGGTGTGTAGTGACTCTGGTGTGTGTAGTGACTCTGGTGTGTGTAGTGACTCTGGTGTGTAGTGACTCTGGTGTGTGTAGTGACTCTGGTGTGTAGTGACTCTGGTGTGTGTAGTGACTCTGGTGTGTAGTGACTCTGGTGTGTGTAGTGACTCTGGTGTGTGTAGTGACTCTGGTGTGTGTAGTGACTCTGGTGTGTGTAGTGACTCTGGTGTGTGTAGTGACTCTGGTGTGTGTAGTGACTCTGTGTGTAGTGACTCTGGTGTGTGTAGTGACTCTGGTGTGTGTAGTGACTCTGGTGTGTGTAGTGACTCTGGTGTGTGTAGTGACTCTGGTGTGTGTAGTGACTCTGGTGTGTGTAGTGACTCTGGTGTGTGTAGTGACTCTGGTGTGTGTAGTGACTCTGGTGTGTGTAGTGACTCTGGTGTGTGTAGTGACTCTGGTGTGTGTAGTGACTCTGGTGTGTGTAGTGACTCTGGTGTGTGTAGTGACTCTGGTGTGTGTAGTGACTCTGGTGTGTGTAGTGACTCTGGTGTGTGTAGTGACTCTGGTGTGTGTGTGACTCTGGGTGTGTAGTGACTCTGGTGTGTGTAGTGACTCTGGTGTGTGTAGTGACTCTGGTGTGTGTAGTGACTCTGGTGTGTGTAGTGACTCTGGTGTGTGTAGTGACTCTGGTGTGTGTAGTGACTCTGGTGTGTGTAGTGACTCTGGTGTGTGTAGTGACTCTGGTGTGTGTAGTGACTCTGGTGTGTGTAGTGACTCTGGTGTGTGTAGTGACTCTGGTGTGTGTAGTGACTCTGGTGTGTAGTGACTCTGGGTGTGTGTAGTGACTCTGGTGTGTGTGGTGACTCTGGTGTGTAGTGACTCTGGTGTGTAGTGACTCTGGTGTGTGTAGTGACTCTGGTGTGTGTAGTGACTCTGGTGTGTGTAGTGACTCTGGTGTGTAGTGACTCTGGTGTGTGTAGTGACTCTGGTGTGTGTAGTGACTCTGGTGTGTGTAGTGACTCTGGTGTGTAGTGACTCTGGTGTGTAGTGACTCTGGTGTGTGTAGTGACTCTGGTGTGTGTAGTGACTCTGGTGTGTGTAGTGACTCTGGTGTGTGTAGTGACTCTGGTGTGTAGTGACTCTGGTGTGTGTGGTGACTCTGGTGTGTGTAGTGACTCTGGTGTGTGTAGTGACTCTGGTGTGTGTAGTGACTCTGGTGTGTGTAGTGACTCTGGTGTGTGGTGACTCTGGTGTGTGGTGACTCTGGTGTGTGTAGTGACTCTGGTGTGTGTAGTGACTCTGGTGTGTGTAGTGACTCTGGTGTGTGGTGACTCTGGTGTGTGTAGTGACTCTGGTGTGTGTAGTGACTCTGGTGTGTGTAGTGACTCTGGTGTGTGTAGTGACTCTGGTGTGTGTAGTGACTCTGGGTGTGTGTAGTGACTCTGGTGTGTGTAGTGACTCTGGTGTGTGTAGTGACTCTGGTGTGTGTGGTGACTCTGGTGTGTGTAGTGACTCTGGTGTGTGGTGACTCTGGTGTGTAGTGACTCTGGTGTGTGTAGTGACTCTGGTGTGTGTAGTGACTCTGGTGTGTGTAGTGACTCTGGTGTGTGTAGTGACTCTGGTGTGTGTAGTGACTCTGGTGTGTGGTGACTCTGGTGACTCTGGTGTGTAGTGACTCTGGTGTGTGTAGTGACTCTGGTGTGTGTAGTGACTCTGGTGTGTAGTGACTCTGGTGTGTGTAGTGACTCTGGTGTGTGTAGTGACTCTGGTGTGTGGTGACTCTGGTGTGTGTAGTGACTCTGGTGTGTGGTGACTCTGGTGTGTAGTGACTCTGGTGTGTGTAGTGACTCTGGTGTGTGTAGTGACTCTGGTGTGTGTAGTGACTCTGGTGTGTAGTGACTCTGGTGTGTTGTAGTGACTCTGGTGTGTGTAGTGACTCTGGTGTGTAGTGACTCTGGTGTGTGTAGTGACTCTGGTGTGTAGTGACTCTGGTGTGTGTAGTGACTCTGGTGTGTGTAGTGACTCTGGTGTGTGTAGTGACTCTCTGGTGTGTGTAGTGACTCTGGTGTGTGTGGTGACTCTGGTGTGTGTAGTGACTCTGGTGTGTGTAGTGACTCTGGTGTGTGTAGTGACTCTGGTGTGTGTGGTGACTCTGGTGTGTGTGGTGACTCTGGTGTGTGTGGTGACTCTGGTGTGTGTAGTGACTCTGGTGTGTGTAGTGACTCTGGTGTGTAGTGACTCTGGTGTGTGTAGTGACTCTGGTGTGTGTAGTGACTCTGGTGTGTGTAGTGACTCTGGTGTGTGTAGTGACTCTGGTGTGTGTAGTGACTCTGGTGTGTGTAGTGACTCTCTGGTGTGTGTTCAGGTGCAGAGTCCTCGCGGGCGTCTGTTTGCCTTCGACTCAGAGGGTCACCACGTTCTGACCTGCTCCAGCTCCGGAGGCGTCATTAACAGAGTAAGAACATCCACTCCTGCAGGAATCACAACCAAGCCCCCGGTCTCTCCAAGATGTCTGCCTCTGGTCTCTCCAAGATGTCTGTCTCTGGTCTCTCCAAGATGTCTGCCTCTGGTCTCTCCAATCTCTCCAAGATGTCTGCCTCTGGTCTCTCCAAGATGTCTGCCTCTGGTCTCTCCAAGATGTCTGCCTCTGGTCTCTCCAAGATGTCTGCCTCTGGTCTCTCCAAGATGTCTGCCTCTGGTCTCTCCAAGATGTCTGCCCCGGTCTCTCCAAGATGTCTGCCCCGGTCTCTCCAAGATGTCTGTCTCTGGTCTCTCCAAGATGTCTGCCCAGAGAGAGAGACTGGAGAGAAAGACCAGAGAGAAAGACCAGAGAGAGACCAGAGAGAGAGACCAGAGAGAGAGACCAGAGAGAGAGACCAGAGAGAGAGACCGGAGAGAAAGACCAGAGAGAAAGACCAGAGAGAGAGACCAGAGAGAGAGACCAGAGAGAGAGACCAGAGAGAGAGACCAGAGAGAGAGACCAGAGAGAGAGACCAGAGAGAGAGACCAGAGAGAGAGACCAGAGAGAAAGACCAGAGAGAAAGACCAGAGAGAGAGACCAGAGAGAGAGACCAGAGAGAGAGACCAGAGAGAGAGACCAGAGAGAGAGACCAGAGAGAAAGACCAGAGAGAAAGACCAGAGAGAAAGACCAGAGAGAAAGACCAGAGAGAAAGACCAGAGAGAAAGACCAGAGAGAAAGACCAGAGAGAGAGACCAGAGAGAGAGACCAGAGAGAGAGACCAGAGAGAGACCAGAGAGAGACCAGAGAGAGAGACCAGAGAGAGACCAGAGAGAGGGAGCTAGAGTGAGAGGAAAAGCCTTGTTGTGATCTAAATGTGTGTGTTGATCCCTGTATGTGTGTGTGTGTGTTGATCCCTGTATGTGTGTGTGTGTGTTGATCCCTGTATGTGTATGTGTGTGTGTTGATCCCTGTATGTGTGTGTGTGTTGATCCCTGTATGTGTGTGTGTGTGTTGATCCCTGTATGTGTGTGTGTGTGTTGATCCCTGTATTGTGTGTATGTGTGTGTGTTGATCCCTGTTGTGTGTGTGTGTGTTGATCCCTGTTGGTGTGTGTGTGTGTATGTGTGTGTGTGTGTTGATCCCTGTTGTGTGTGTGTGTGTGTTGATCCCTGTATGTGTGTGTGTGTTGATCCCTGTTGTGTGTGTGTGTTGATCCCTGTATGTGTGTGTGTGTGATCCCTGTATGTGTGTGTGTGTTGTTCCCTGTATGTGTGTGTGTGTGTTGATCCCTGTATGTGTGTGTGTGTTGATCCCTGTATGTGTGTGTGTGTTGATCCCTGTATGTGTGTGTGTGTGTTGATCCCTGTATGTGTGTGTGTGTGTTGATCCCTGTATGTGTGTGTGTGTTGATCCCTGTATGTGTGGCTGGCTGCCCGTCGCGTTGCGCTCTTCAGCTTCAACCTTCTTTCTTTCTTTATAGCTGATTTTATATTTATTTTGTAAATATTGTTTTTATAAATCACTGGGAGAATAACCGTGTCACACGGATTACATTTTACCAAGTTCTGTTGGATTATCCAAGTTTTGAGGATTTATGGTGCTTTCAGACCGGATCATGCTGCGTCGGGTTTCAATGCAAAGTCTATGGTGCCGCGCGTTCGACCGTCACAACGCAAGGACCTCTCGGCACGAACGGACTGTTCAGTAGAGACGCACGGACTGTTCAGTAGAGACGCACGGACTGTTCAGTAGAGACGCACGGACTGTTCAGTAGAGACGCACGGACTGTTCAGTAGAGACGCACGGACTGTTCTGTAGAGACGCACGGACTGTTCAGTAGAGACGCACGGACTGTTCTGTAGAGACGCACGGACTGTTCAGTAGAGACGCACGGACTGTTCTGTAGAGACGCACGGACTGTTCAGTAGAGACGCACGGACTGTTCAGTAGAGACGCACGGACTGTTCTGTAGAGACGCACGGACTGTTCAGTAGAGACGCACGGACTGTTCAGTAGAGACGCACAGACTGTTCAGTAGAGACGCACAGACTGTTCAGTAGAGACGCACGGACTGTTCAGTAGAGACGCACGGACTGTTCAGTAGAGACGCACGGACTGTTCAGTAGAGACGCACGGACTGTTCAGTAGAGACGCACAGACTGTTCTGTAGAGACGCACGGACTGTTCAGTAGAGACGCACGGACTGTTCAGTACAGACGCACGGACTGTTCAGTAGAGACGCACAGACTGTTCAGACGCACGGTGTTCTGTAGAGACGCACGGACTGTTCAGTAGAGACGCACGGACTGTAGAGACGCACGGACTGTTCTGTAGAGACGCACGGACTGTTCAGTAGAGACGCACGGACTGTTCAGTACAGACGCACGGACTGTTCAGTAGAGACGCACGGACTGTTCAGTAGAGACGCACGGACTGTTCAGTAGAGACGCACGGACTGTTCAGTAGAGACGCACAGACTGTTCAGTAGAGACGCACGGACTGTTCAGTAGAGACCACGGACTGTTCAGTAGAGACGCACGGACTGTTCTGTAGAGACGCACGGACTGTTCAGTAGAGACGCACGGACTGTTCAGTAGAGACGCACGGACTGTTCTGTAGAGACGCACGGACTGTTCAGTAGAGACGCACGGACTGTTCTGTAGAGACGCACGGACTGTTCTGTAGAGACGCACGGACTGTTCAGTAGAGACGCACGGACTGTTCAGTAGAGACGCACGGACTGTTCTGTAGAGACGCACGGACTGTTCAGTAGAGACGCACGGACTGTTCAGTAGAGACACACGGACTGTTCAGTAGAGACGCACGGACTGTTCAGTAGAGACGCACGGACTGTTCTGTAGAGACGCACGGACTGTTCTGTAGAGACGCACGGACTGTTCAGTACAGACGCACTGACTGTTCTGTAGAGACGCACGGACTGTTCAGTAGAGACGCACGGACTGTTCAGTAGAGACGCACTGACTGTTCTGTAGAGACGCACGGACTGTTCAGTAGAGACGCACGGACTGTTCAGTAGAGACGCACGGACTGTTCTGTAGAGACGCACGGACTGTTCAGTAGAGACGCACGGACTGTTCAGTAGAGACGCACGGACTGTTCAGTAGAGACGCACGGACTGTTCAGTACAGACGCACGGACTGTTCAGTAGAGACGCACGGACTGTTCAGTAGAGACGCACGGACTGTTCAGTAGAGACGCACGGACTGTTCAGTAGAGACGCACGGACTGTTCAGTAGAGACGCACGGACTGTTCAGTAGAGACGCACGGACTGTTCAGTAGAGACGCACGGACTGCTCAGTAGAGACGCACGGACTGTTCAGTAGAGACGCACGGACTGTTCAGTAGAGACGCACGGACTGTTCAGTAGAGACTCACGGACTGTTCAGTAGAGACGCACGGACTGTTCAGTAGAGACGCACGGACTGCTCAGTAGAGACGCACGGACTGTTCAGTAGAGACGCACGGACTGTTCAGTACAGACGCACGGACTGTTCAGTAGAGACGCACGGACTGTTCAGTAGAGACGCACGGACTGTTCAGTAGAGACGCACGGACTGTTCAGTAGAGACACACAGACTGCTCAGTAGAGACGCACGGACTGTTCAGTACAGACGCACGGACTGTTCAGTAGAGACGCACGGACTGTTCAGTAGAGACGCACGGACTGTTCAGTAGAGACGCACGGACTGTTCAGTAGAGACGCACGGACTGTTCAGTAGAGACGCACGGACTGCTCAGTAGAGACGCACGGACTGTTCAGTAGAGACGCACGGACTGTTCTGTAGAGACGCACGGACTGTTCAGTGGAGACGCACGGACTGTTCAGTAGAGACGCACGGACTGTTCAGTAGAGACGCACGGACTGTTCAGTAGAGACGCACGGACTGTTCAGTACAGACGCACGGACTGTTCAGTAGAGACGTACGGACTGCTCAGTAGAGACGCACGGACTGTTCAGTAGAGACGCACGGACTGTTCAGTAGAGACGCACGGACTGTTCTGTAGAGACGCACGGACTGTTCTGTAGAGACGCACGGACTGTTCTGTAGAGACGCACGGACTGTTCAGTAGAGACGCACAGACTGTTCAGTAGAGACGCACGGACTGTTCAGTACAGACGCACGGACTGTTCAGTAGAGACGCACGGACTGCTCAGTAGAGACGCACGGACTGTTCTGTAGAGACGCACGGACTGTTCAGTAGAGACGCACAGACTGTTCAGTAGAGACGCACGGACTGTTCAGTACAGACGCACGGACTGTTCAGTAGAGACGCACGGACTGCTCAGTAGAGACGCACGGACTGTTCAGTACAGACGCACGGACTGTTCAGTAGAGACGCACGGACTGTTCAGTAGAGACGCACGGACTGTTCAGTAGAGACGCACGGACTGTTCAGTAGAGACGCACGGACTGTTCAGTAGAGACGCACGGACTGTTCAGTAGAGACTCACGGACTGTTCAGTAGAGACGCACGGACTGTTCAGTAGAGACGCACGGACTGTTCAGTAGAGACGCACGGACCTGTTCAGTAGAGACGCACGGACTGTTCAGTACAGACGCACGGACTGTTCAGTAGAGACGCACGGACTGTTCAGTAGAGACGCACGGACTGTTCAGTAGAGACGCACGGACTGTTCAGTAGAGACACACGGACTGTTCAGTAGAGACGCACGGACTGTTCAGTACAGACGCACGGACTGTTCAGTAGAGACGCACGGACTGTTCAGTAGAGACGCACGGACTGTTCTGTAGAGACGCACGGACTGTTCAGTAGAGACGCACGGACTGTTCAGTAGAGACGCACGGACTGTTCAGTAGAGACGCACGGACTGTTCAGTAGAGACGCACGGACTGTTCAGTAGAGACGCACGGACTGTTCAGTAGAGACGCACGGACTGTTCAGTAGAGACGCACGGACTGTTCAGTACAGACGCACGGACTGTTCAGTGGAGACGCACGGACTGTTCTG